TGATCACCAATTGTAACGAATTAAAGAGTTAACTGTCTAATTCAAATTTATTTTTAACAATATTTCACTATCACAACTAATTTATATACAACACTTAGTAACTAACGCTTAATTTATCTTCACAGTAAGATTTCTTTCTTCAAACGCACGATTCACTTTCTAAGTACAGACTGCCTGGCCGTGGCCGACTAGAAGTGGCGCCTTTTTATATCGTCAACGAACGCTCCGGATCTCTCTAGGGATTTCGGCACTGACCTGGCTTATTCGCGGTGGCTTATCGAGTGCATTCCCGATGAGTCATTCGTTTGCTCGTTGAGATATCGGTCAGGGGCGGCTTCAGATTCATTAGAATATAACGCTTGTGAAAGAAGAAAAGCAATTTTGATGTAAAATCCACCTTTTGGGTTGATTTTTTTCTTCTTTCCCTACTTCAGTTTCGTTTGTTTCGAAAATAATTAGGATAAAAAACCTTCTAGTTTTTTCATAATACCTAAGACAAGTAAAAGAATAAATCAAATGACTGACTGAATATTTGAATCGGACTCTTTTTAAGCAACTTATTTCGAAAATTCCATGCTGAAAATAGATTTAAATATCACACACTTTCGTTTTTATAACAAGAGCCTCCTGAAAATACCTTTTCATCAATAATTTTTGTTACCATGCCTTGAAACATTATATAATTTAACGTACCTACATCGGGAATTCAGCCGAGGAAGAGCATTCATAACAATATACAAACATAGAAATTCAAATTACAAATGAAAGTCTGATTTTGTTTCCTTCCTGTGTATAGAAGAGGACATACACCTCTCTACTTACAAGATATTCTGGTGAAATATTCGTGCCACTTACCAGTGTATCAATGTTTGCAGTAAGCTGTGTAATGTCCGCTGTGAAGTTCCTCTGGATGCCTAAATGCGCCGTACGAAAGCAAAAGCTAAAAAAACCTAGAGAGAGAGGTTCCTTCATGATTCTACAGTGCATATGGATTATAATGGCAAGGGGCTGTGTTATCTGCTGCATAATTAGTCATGTATAAACATTTTAGTGGTCATTCCTCGGCGACCTTCGATCCGTTCTGAGATTTTCTGGGTGAGGGTCAACCCGCTAACATCGCGGGGGCGTTCCTCACTGCCTCTTCTCGGCAGGAACGCGAGGGCGCGCCTGTCTGAAGTGGAAGCCACTTTGCTACTCTACTCTTAAGGTAGAGGTACTCATGAAATTTAGACATGTAAATAGTTTATTTCAATAAAAATATGTTTGCTTTGCTCTTGCTCTTACGAGGACATTACACAGCATACTGTAGACTTTCGTCAAACAAATAAACAAAAATTTATTAATTTTTTTTTCAGGTTCCGCACAGTATATTTCCACGCACTGGCTAGCACTAACGAATTTTCAGTAAACACACAAGTGTTGAGGAACGAAAGTTTAGCTACAGATCCACACTCATACGAACTTTTCAAGGTAATTTTCAGTACCTATATCTATGGAATAAACGATATAAATTGAGAAACCATGCGATGTCGAGAATAATTTCAAAAGGATTGTACCATAAAAGATCTATATTCAGAGTAATTAATATTAATTTTCCAAATTAGAGTAGTGACATCTGCCAAGGCCGCAAATTTACTTTCTGTCTATATCATAAGATCAATATAAATGTGCAATTTTTTGAGAGATAACTTTCAAATCGTGATGGAATTGGCCAATACTTGTTAAAAATCCATAATGTTTTCAAATAATACCTTATTGAAATATTTTAACTAGAAATGTCTAGTGAAAATTTCACAATAAATTGAAAACTTTCGAATCATCTACAATGATAAATGGAACAGACACTTGNATGACATAATAAAATCGAGTTGAAACTCACCCTGTATGAATTCCTAGGCATCTGACATTCATCGGAAAACAATCTATTTTATTTTTTATAATTTAATATTATAAACTGCTGAGAACATAATCAGTCATTAAATGGATTTGTCTCTTGAAAATGCTCCGTGTAACCTAAGAAATTTTAGTTTTGTCTATTGAAATCCTTTGAAATAAAACATTAGATAAAGAATTTAACCACAGTCTGGATTCTTCAAAAATTCAGAAAATGAGATTTTTTCTTCTTTTCTTCATACAAGGACAGGTAACACTAATGACCTTGTAAACTTCCTAGTTTTTTCAAATTTTTATTCATAATATTCCAAAACTCATTGATCGGGCAACTGATTACCGTCTGTTCTACAAACAGCACAGAGCCGTATTTGATGTTTGTAATATTATGTTTAGGTCCGTAAGTTGTCCAAATGTTTTTCCATATTCTCGAATTAATTTTTTTTAATCAAACTTCAATATTTCTAGCTTGAAGGAAATAAAGGAGAAAATACACAGTCTACCGCCTCAGTTTTCGATGAGAAAACAAACGTCCTATTTCTTACTCAGATTCAGAAAGATGGTGTAGCATGTTGGAACCCGAGGAGAAAACTTGAGCCCGCCAATGTAGGCATAGCGGTTCACCACCAAGAAAACCTCATATTCACCAATGATATTGCCGTAAGTTGTTTTCGAACATTCACGAATAACGAAATTGAAATTTAAATAACTTCCAGATTGACTCCGATCGAAATCTGTGGATCCTCTCAGACAAGATGCCTGCTTTCGTTTACAAAGGACTGGATCCTCTAGAAATTAACTACAGAATTTTGAAAATTGGCGTAGATGAAGCTATAAATGGAACTCGATGTGTTGCCTAAATTTGAATTGATTTGTGATACTTGTAGTTTTGTAGGAAAATTTGAGATATTTTATAATTTTTAGTCCTCGACCTGTACAAAGATTGGAATAATAATAAAATGTGTTTTTCATTCGTCTGTTTTTCCTCCAGCTGCCTAAATGGCGGGAAAAATAGTTTGGAGAGAATAGTTCAGACTTCTAGGGAAGTGCAGAATGGCCACATATGTTTATTATTTGTTTCATTGAAATTCCAAGTTTAAAATTCGAAATATCGACTTCGATTACAACATTGAGAAACGACAACAGCAATAACGTTTGTGGTGGGTATATTTCATAAAATTCATTTTTACAGAGCCCTGACGAATAATTTGTTAAATTCGAAACATTGACAAGAAGACAATTGTTTTTCTTGAGATAATTTGATCCTGCTATCCAACAAACCTTTCTAAATGTAATTATATAATCAAACAATCATATTNTAACCCCTTCAATTCAAATAAGATTCCTCTTGGCTGGGATTGAATTAAATAGGTGAATGAATGTCATTACGATGTCATCGATGACATCAGCAGATCAAGCTTATTCCGTGACATTGAAAATCGTAATTCATGAATGAATTGTGTGTATTGTTTATAATATTATTCAATTTGGTACTGAAGAGCCTTAGGGCAAGTGTCTTAAGGCGAAACATCGATGTATACCAGTGAGGATGACAGTGTTCCATGTAAGTGCAATTTGTTACCATTCATTCAAAGTAGAACTCGTGTGAATGATATGATTTTTATTCCACAACTAATGTTTGAAATACGAACTGAGTAGAGAAAAGTATCTTCTGTATAATTCAGTGTCATCTATATAAAGTAAAAACACAGCACTAGGTGAAGATAGATTTCAAAAATCAATCAAGTTACTTAATAACAATTATATCTTTCATGAAAGTAATATGGAAGTTAAAATTTATCTCAAATTCGAATCACATGTCAAATCAATTTTGTATCACTATCGCTTATCAAAAAAAGATGCTATGAAGGACAGGAGAACATTGCTATAGCAGGGTCTTCTGTCTCATAAGTTATCAGAACATCTCGAAATTTGTCTAAAAGTTGCAATAATTGGCTCCTTCTCAAATTTTCCAAGTACATGATTTCCTCAATGTGATGATTGCCTTGAAAATATTCTTTCCTGCACAATCTTGCGAAGAGTTTTAGGTCTTCAGGAGTATTGGTGGCAGGAATCTGGAATAATAGTCAGGACAAATATGAATTACATAAAATATAAATTAAATACCTTAAATATGGACGTTCTTTCCTCATCTGGGAAATCCAGAAGAAGCTCTTCTTGATAGTCCTGTTTGTCTTCTTCCGTGGAAGCAAAACTTGCACTTTCTAAACTAAAATTCAGTTCTATTATTTTCAAAATGTTACAAAATAAAGTATATGAAAAAATGTAAAAACATAAATTGAGAAAAACAGAAGGGTTCACGAGTATAAATTTTCCTGAAGATTATTGACTTTTTTATTGAATATTTAAGCTGTGAAAGAAGAAGAACTATAATGAAACTGTGGAAAAATTGTTCAACATTCAAAAAAATTTTGTTGGCACCATGAAGCACCATGAGTTATCACATACTCGTAATTAGAACTAGCGATGCGGCCCGGATTCGCACGGATGCAATGCTGATACTAAGTATACATATACACCCGTGCGATTGCTGCTATAATCATAAAGTGCTGCGAAGCGCAGCCTTCGACGCGCTATTTATAGGAACGCGCTGCCGGCCCCCGGCCGGTACCGCTGCAACCGCTATGTCCCTGCATTTTTAATCTGTAATATCTTCAAAAAATATTTATTTAAATCATATGCTGTGAAGAATCATATTGATCAATATCAAATGCACAATGTATTTAAGGCATTAGTCACAATAGTCCTATTCAATTTGGTTATCAAATTGAAAACAGACTAAAACGGGTTTTTGAAATTCGCGATTTAGAAACAGTCATATTTGATCATCAATTGAATTTTGCACATCATAAAAACAGATTTTAAACAGACAGATATTAACTCTGTAGCCAGTAAATCTTTTCAATTATTGAGTTTCATTTCTAGAATTACTAAAAAACTATCTGTTATGTCTTTTAGAACATTATATCTATCATGAGTATATTTGATTACCCAAGACGCCTCATCAGTTGGTCAACATATTATCGAACTCACATCGATCAAATAGAAAGAGTGCATAGAAAATTTCTGAGGTGTATAGCATTTAGAATGAATCTGCCATATGGTTATTACACAAGTTATGCAATATTTGAATATTACCAGCTTGGAAAGTAGATCAAGATCTGACTTGATTAATAAGATACTATCAAGGAGATTGATTGTCTTTCATTGCTCCATTCGATTTATTTTAAAGTTCCAAAAAGACCTAATCAAAACTCTGAGTTATTCCAAGTTCCCTACCATTGCACAAATTATAGTTATCATAGTACTTTGTCACATTTTGTTAGATTGGGTAATGAATATTGCAATAGAGATTTAGAATTTATTGGATAAACATCACAATCATTCAAAATCAATTTGAAAAGGTTATTACTATAAGTGTCCATCTATTACTGTAGTACTGCCAATTAGTTCATTTTTAGTTTATATTTAGTATAAGTATGTATATGTATTATATTTCATATGTAAGAAGGGGAAATCAGGCAATTTTGTAGAAGACAATAAAGACACTTTATTTAATTTTGTGAATCGCTTTGGCGATTGCACATAGAAAACATTTGAAAACCAAATATTGTGATACATATTCTTCCATTCTTAAAAACGGCAGCAAATATTAAAAAATATCTAGGTTTCCCAAAAATCAAAATATATGTTCATATCATATGAAGTTCTATAGAATGTTTTGAAAAAATTTCTCTCGATATCCCCAAAATCCGACACCAATCAACACTTTATCTCATACAGTTAGTAGTAACAAATGCTGAAGGCAATACTAAGAAATAATTGAATTCAAAACTCACTTCACAATTTTGGAGGCAACTTCCAAAGTTTCAGATACAGTTGAAGCACCACTTTCTGATTCCGCTCTAGAATAATCATTGCTTGTTTGTTGATAATTTGACATGACAGTACTGCTTCTTGGTGATGGAGATGCTAGGTGTTTTTTGTTTTCATCCCTATAATAAAGAACAGGTCTGATTGAAGGAAATCATAAAAAAAATATTCATTTCGTTTTTATAAAACATGATTATTTCTTTGAAAAGAAAGTTTTTGGCTTTCTACTACTCCATCTTGATAAAAAAAAAAGAATAAGTATCTTCTGTATAATTCAGTGTTCATATAGAATTTTTTTCTTTCGTATAATTCAATGTTTATATGAAAGTAGCTGTTTCAGGAGGACTTTCTTTCAGTTTGTTTCTGAAAGTTACTTCTTTGAATGATCTACACATTCAAGTATAGGGTTACTTATTTTCAAATTGATTACTTCCTTCCATTCTTTGAAAGATTCCTTATTCTTTTTTGTATCAAGATGGTGTAGTAGAAAGCCAAAAACTTTCTTTCCCAAAAATTAATCACTCCTAAAAATATAACCCCTTCAATTCAAATGATTATTTCATTTCAACTGAAAAATTAGGATTTTTAAAAATCAAGAAAATTGGGTTACCGATTCATTACACTAAATTTGAATGATTAGAGTTTCCCAGTAAATCACCACTCTAACATATGAAGCATTACCCCTGCAATTTGTGGAATCTAGCTACCTGCTGTACCTGCTAGCTACCTACTGTAGCTGCCTCCGTGGTGATGTTGGGGTATCCTAGAAATTCTAGGTTTCCCAATTGAAATCACAAATGTGCGGTTGGCTCCTGTTGGTGACTCTGTTCGTTTGTGCTGTTTTCCCGTTTTTGGCAACCAAGTATTGACCATCTCTGCACATGGCTACACCACGCTGATGAGGCCAATAGCCAGAAACACGTGTCCGTTGCCAATAATTTTTCTTGAGTGCTGTTCCAACTAATCTTTTCCTTTTTGAATTAAATCATAGACACTCGATAACACCTCCTCTTTTATATTTATATCATGGATCCGGAAGTCTCGCAGGTAGCTGTAGCTGCCTCCGTGATGATGTTAAGATATCCTAAAAATTCTAGGTCTCCTACTGCTCAAAGGTTTTGGCTTTCTATTTCTCCATCTATGATTCCACCTTATAGTGAAATTCAAATAATATTCATTATGAATAGTTATAAATGGTAAAATTCATCTCCTGATTAGGCCAATTTGAATGATGGTTCTTGCATCGATAATAGTGTTGCAGTTTTTGTGTGTGAGTGTTTTGTATACAGAAGGGGAAAAAATGTATAATAGGAACACTGAGCATCTCAAGAGAAAAAAACATCTGTGTAAAATCTGTTTTTCCGTTAACAAACTGTCGCACCCTTACGAACGATAACCCTCAGAAGTTGAAACTTGCGCGAGCTAAGGATTAACGAGATTTTACCTTTTAACGTGTGATTCCTAACACGGGTTGGACGATAGCAAGTGAAAATCGATCGTTCAGACTAGGGCTTGAACCAGCGACCAACACAGCAGTCAATTTGAGTGAGTGAACAAAGCACCCACTGGAACCGCCTGGCTACCGACCCACCGATGTGAATATAGAAAAAGATGAATGATATTGTTCATAACTATAAAACATGCATTAATTAATGTGAAATTAACAATTAAGAATTTATATTTATTCATTCGTTGACTAATCTGATAAGTTTTGTACTAGAGTTTGTTGATTTTCTTACCGACTATGAGTCATACAGGCGCAGATTACAATTCACGCTTCAACACTCCTCTATTAAGCATTTAAAAAACATCACATTTGATTTGTAGTAAAATTTCACTGAAGATCGACTTAGCAAACGTCTATACGGATACAAGTTATAGAACAGTCAAATTGTATTTTTGATTTGACTTCAATCAACTTTATTGTAAAAAAGGTATGTTCTCGATTAATGTTAGTTTATTTCAGTTTTATTGTTGGTTGGTTCAGGTTAATTGATCTTTTAGTGACGTACTCAGTTAAACTTGTTTTTCATCTACAAGGTAAGTAGTTCAGTTGGGTTATTATTATACTTAGCAGTTGCAAAAATTTTTTTAAAACGTTTGCTTATCAACAACACAATTGATTGTTTGAAAATTGTTTCTATCAACAGTGATATACTTGTACTTTTTTTATCAAGTATATTATTGTTTGCAATGCAACTATTTTCATTCATTATAAGTGATCTTCATGAAACAGAAAGGGTATTTTCTGAAAAGTCTGTACTTATTTGTTAATACTAAAAACCAATAAAAAAATTAGTTCTCAAATTAAATTTGAATTGATTACTATTGAAATTCGCCATTTAGTGGTTGTAAATATCTAAACTTTCCAATTATATTATAACCCTTGTCAGGACATAAGTGATTTCTGGTTCTATTATTTAAAAATCCTGTGTTAGTGGTAGACTTAGGGTTGTTTCTGATTTTACTAACAGTTTTACTGTAAAACATTCATAGTGTTAACACAACACAAAATTAATTCAACATTATAAACAGAGGTGTATTCAGTTACTGTTATATTTGTATTAAATGCTAAAAGCTGTCATCCACTTATATAATAATAATTTCTACTGAGCCAATCTTCAATTCGGTCAGAGTGAACTTTGTTTGGACTATTGCAGCTCTATTAAACGAATAGTTGAGTCAAAGTTTTCAGTTATCACTTGAATAATTTTGTGCTTCTTACCGTAGAAGCAACGGGCAGATATTTTTAAGGTCATAAACAGTAAGGAAATCAAATCCCTCTTCTACCTGTATTAAAAGCTTCAGTAAAGATACAATATTTTTGAATTATTTGAAGAAACTCACATATTTCTACGCAACTGTCCATTTTCTGTAGGCATATACTGAATGTAGGTGTGTAACTGAAGCAGCAGATGATGCTGTAACATCCAAATAATCGACTGAACCAACTGTGATTGTTGTGAGGGATGACACAAAGGGTTACATTTCTGTCCCAGTGAAGTAGGTAGCGAGTATTCGCTCATTACTCTAACCAGATTAAGGCCAGGAAAGGTATCACTGAATTTTTCTACCAGAGGCGAGTTCAGATGAACAGGGGCATTGGGGGATATAACGTATTTGTTTGTAGAACATAATGGAAATATAACTGTTGCCTTTGCCCAGTATACTAGATGTGCTGTGAGTTCAAAAACCTACAATAAAAAAATTAATTGATTAAAGTGCTTACTTTCAAGATATAACTGTGATACTATTCAATGAATATTCAACACAGTTCAAATCAAACTGTGCTGTAGCTTACATGTGATAAAGTTAAATCCGAATCTACTGCTAAAGTCTGTAAATTTTTCAAAGGTGAATACTGAGATAACATCCTAACTAAAGATGGAGAACCATCTAATGAAGAGAAATCGTTCATTTGTTGCAATGGGTGGAGTAAAAGTAAACTGTGATATGGTCTAAGGGCATTCATACACCTGAAATTAGAAAAATGTAAGAACATATAGTTAAATAAGTAAAAATTATACCTGTCAATATCTTCCGGTTCAACAATTTTTCCTCTCATATGCCATTGATGTACCTTTTGTGGTAAACAAAAGCTCAATGGTATCCATTTGTTTATCCTTAAATTCACCAGTCCTTAAATTAAAATTTAATATTCACTAATGATTAAATATAACATATCTCCTCTCTTGATATTGAACATACTAACACAGAAAATTGAAAGTAATCATTTCCAAATTGTTTTATAAATTTTTATTTTCGTCAATTGGCACATGAATCGTTATGAAATCAAATTATAATTCATAAATGAAGATAACTGAATAATAGATAATATTAAAGAAAATTTATTTTTTGTGAAGGAATTCATAGTTTTTATTGACCTTCTTTGATTTGATTTGATTTGAGACATATATTTTCTTTGAGATTCAAATATTAAGTAGTTTAGGTTTTATATAACAATTTTGAAACCTGTATTTTATACAGTGAAAAAAATCAAATATTATTTTTTCGTTATCACTATATAAACAAACACTATTTTTGTAGTATTATGTTAAGTATGAATTATTAGAAAATTGTTTCATTTACAGGTCAAATAGAATGCATGCCTAATTTTCCTTAAATGATTGTAACCATGTTCAATGTTATTAATATTGTTTAACTTCATATTTACAAAATATTTTTTTGAAAAATTCTCATTAGGATTTCTTGCTTATATTTATTGCAATATAATTCACCAGGGATGATTACCAAAGTACATCTATATATCTTGGAAAACGATTCAATCTGTACTACTGCTTGAGGTCTGGTTAAATAGAAGATATCATTTTTTGAAAAAGTTGAGAGCAACATAAGAACAAATTGAAAATGTGATCTGGTTGATTTTGATGTAATGGGTACAGGTTTGTAATCTGGTTGATTTTGATGTACTGTGTACAGGTTTCAAGAAAGCGCTAGAAGCAACAGCCTGGTTGTTCTAAGGAAAAATGAAACACAAGTGGTCTGAAGTTTGGATAGCAAATCAGTATTTGCTTCTGATTTTTATCAATAGAAGTTGAATCGATCAAAAACTAAAAGAAAGGTCTGATACAGCTGTAAGCAGATGATACCAAAAATGAGACATCAATCAACCAGTTTTTGCCATGAATATTACATAAAAATGAAGACTAATAGAGCTACTATTATTCAATCCAAATTACCACATCTAACAAAGTTCACTCACCTGTGTTACATAAATCTTCGTACATCTTCTTGATGTTACTAGCTAGGGAACACTTCTCCAAAATAATTTGAAATGCACTTCCTGGTCCATTGGTATATATGTCATCATGTGCAGTTGTCATCAACTGTGTTTGTTCAGACACATAACCACATCTTTTTTCTTCGTATTTCAGAACTATTCCCATCCTTTTACTCAAGTCATGATAACATTTAACTGGAGAAGGGAAAAAGTATAAGTGTAATGGTACTCAATTGGGTGAAGTTTATTGAGTAAAAAGTAAAATTTGGTGTTTGCCCAGCAAGTTTCGTGCAGTTTCAATGGATCTACCTTAGACAACTCTCTGTCCCGTTACCAACCTCAGTTCTTTATTCCTCAGAAAGGTTTGGACTTAGAGACAGCACGAATACTTTGTTTTTGGGCTCTGGTTTCTACTAGCCTCAATTGCTTTGAAAAGTAGATTGAAACTATTTTAATCATCTTACAATTAGGTACAAGAAAGGCATATTTATTTTTTATGCTTTTTTCAAGGGAATGAAAGTTCATCTCCTCGAGATAAATGTGGTCAATATATCAAGGTAAGTAAAGAAGATGGATTGATAACCTTACCTACAGAATGACTAGCAAGAGCCTGCAAAGCAAATACGATGTTCACTAACATAATACCAGAACCATCCTCTTTTTCTTGTTTATTTCTCAGCTGCAGAAGGGTCGGATGGCTCACGAACCTCACGTCATTAACTTTGAGTTCGAACTTTTTGTTGCACAATTCCTTCTTCACCACGAACAAAGAAGAAAGGACTTCGTCTGTGAAACCTGTAAGATTTTCTCTGTTTATATTTGAACATAGCTGCGCGGGACTTTGGAGTAAATCTTCTGTTATCGGTAAGGTATACGGATTTTTTCTTTGTGAACTAGAAGTTTCCCTGTTCTTCTGTATGTGAAAAGGATAACGAAACAATAATCTGTCTCCTTTACTGTCTGACTTAACCAATATTATACTTATTGGGCTCACTTCCATATTTTTGGTTGTTTAATGTGGAATTTGTTCATTAAAAGGTTTCATTATTCAAACTATTTTTTATTTGCAGAGTAAGTTATCGGTATTAACTTTCAATTCATATCATTTCAAAATTAGGTTACTTCGATGTGACACATTTGTCATATTTAATAATATTTATTATTAATTTTTCTCTCTCTTCATATTTTCGATGGTGTGAAGCTAGCTACCATCTTCTAAATCCGCTAAAAGATGTCACCATAGCACAGAACATCTTCACCTCAAAAGAAGAAAAGTTATGGAGATGTTACGACTCCAAATAAGATTCATAAATATTTTATCACTGACGTCTTACAGCTTCTGCAGAATAATACAAATGCGCAGCATACTCACAACGAGATTTGGTTGCATGTACAGCAAAATTTTTAACTGTACATGAAAAATGGAAAAATCGGAGAATTTCATCTTTCACGCAGCAAAATGTCTCATTCGTTATTCATCAATATCGTTATTAAATATTGAATGATTCATGAAAGTTCAGAAGAAAGTAAATGTGCCTGATAGGATTTTATTTTTTTTAAACTAAGTGTTTAACAATTCTGGTGAATTTTCAAATAGGAATGAATATGAGTTTGAAGAAATAGGTAATTTTCTGCCATAGCATTGATAACTGATGATTGATTCATCATCACTGTGCTTATTGAATAATTAATAATATTTGACAGCTCATAAGCTCAAGCTAAATCCTAATAAATCTGCAATAATGATGAACGGAACCAAGAAGAACAAAAGCTCACCAACTCCACTTTTCAAGTCCTCATCGAACATAAAAGAAAACAAGATGAAAAACTCAAGATTGTGGTTTGATCTGGAACTTTGCTTCACTAAACATGTCAGCTATCGTCAACCTGATTACTTACTGAAGAGGCTTAGAATATTCTCAACAATAAATAGTTTCACCACAAGGAACAGTTCAGTTTTAGTTATCCCCAAACACAAATCTTCCATTTTCACGCGCTGCTTCCCATATAATGCACCTAAACATTACAATCAACTACCCCATGAGTTTAGATCTTATACAATAAAAAACTTTATAACAAGACTAATGTCCTATTCAGCTGTTTAGTCTCTTGTCCGTCCCGACCTTGGCATACAAAAAAGGAATTTTCTACAGTGGTTGCATATATTTTCTGATCTCGTTATGACAGTATCACTGTTAAGTCGACGTCTTTGTTATTATTTAATTATTGCCATTTCCAGGTTGAGTTGAAAAACAGCCTTGGCTGATACTCCGTCTATTCACCTTCATACTGAAAGTTTTTTTTCCTCTTTTTGTTTGTTTCAATTGTACTTTTATTATCATTATTATTATAATTGATGATCAATCCGTGTTAAGAATCACACGTAAAAAGGTAAGATCTCGTTAGTCCTTAGCTCGCACAAGTTTCTCAACTTCTGAGAGTTGTATGGGGGCGACAGCTGATTAACGGAAAAACAGATTTTAAAACAGATTTTTTTTTAAATTATAACCACGGCTGGTGCTAGTATTTGGGGGCAGTAACTCAAATATTTGAAAGAATAAAATATGCATGCATGTTCCCCGTTCTGGAAATTTTCCACATACGACGAAAGATCGAATGACGTCATTTCTCGAAGAAGATATACGAGAGTAGGATAAATTTTTTTCAAAATTATTTTAGGAACAAATCATGGCTATTGTTCAAAAATAATTTTGAAACTTTTTCTATATTTGACAGATGTGACGACATCGACGAAATTATTTAAAACAAAAATATTGAATGAATGTTTTCAATCAATTTGAAATAATTTCCCGCCAAAATATGACTTTGATCATGTGACTTTGTCACTTGTCAACTTGTTTGTGTATGGCGAATGACAATATGTCACAATAGTAAAATGGCGAATGTGCGTGATAGTGATACTTCTCTGTGGCTTCATAATAAACTCGGAATTTCTAATGATTCTTGGACAGGTGGCTCAATATGCTCACAGCTGAATGCAGAAGTGTTGAGAAATATAAAAGATTGTTTTCCAGACCTGCAAACACAGGTCAAACTGAAGTTGTTATTAAGCTTCTTTCATATCCCGCGCAGAAACCTGGAAGAGGTATGTTTATATTGTTTGAAAACATAAACAACCTTCATAAGTTCTCATCTATTTGATGAGATGAATTTATTTAATTTTTTTTTTCAGTGGAAAACTGAATTGGAACAAATTCTAGAAGTTGCTGTTGGTGATTCTGAATTGTGGGTAGCCATGCTAGCAGATGCTTTAAAAACATACCCATCTAGTGGGTCCTTGAACACTGAAATATCCGATGTTGATGAAGTTCGTCCAATATTCACGGATTTAGTAACAGATTTGCGAAAACTGGTTCGAAAACAAAATGAGCATACAATGCTTCCCATGGAATGTCATTATTTGAATAAAGCAGCTCTAGTCTCTGTGGTTAGTGACAGCATATCTTAACAAATGGTTTTGAAAATATTCGTTTTAATGGCTCACGATATTGTTTCAAAAATCTTCAATTGGAATTACTTATTTCTATATGGTGATCACAAATCTAGAATCAAAACATGGTGCTCTGGTTTACTTCTGGAGATATGGCTACTCTAAACTAAAATAAAACGATTATTGCAGGAACTCACTTCATATGATGACATAGTTTCACAATTGCATGTTGGTAACATTCATTCTCAAACTATTTTTTTTTTCTGATGAAATGTTTAATTTCCTTAAATTTGTATCTCTGCAAGCTACATCATACTTGTTTGTGAAACTAAATGACACCTTCAACACGGGACTTTTTTATTGGTTCTATTGGCAAATGCTGTATAATTAAACTTGAAATAAATGCCATGTCAAATTTATAGGGCTATTGAAAAGCTAAGAATTGACAAGTTGTATGTATACGGGAATACACAATCATGTATATTCCTCTAGGCAAAGCTAAGTGTAATTTTGGAAATTTGACGCCATTTTCATTTATTGACTCAGACTTTTTGTGACATTGTCAACAAATAATAAAAACAAACATGATTCTGAAAATTAGTTAACGTTAGTAAAATTGAAGCTTTTTGATTTGAAAACACTAGAAAAGTGACTTCGCGAAATGGACAATTTTTCAACAGTTTCGATTTTTCATTTTTAGTTGCCATATCTTTGAAAGTAGATCCAGCGCAAATTTTCTACTTTAGATTCTTGAAACCAGTCGGCAAAAATGCATAAGCCTGATTACAAATTTTTCAAAAACCAGTGTGAGCTTTGGAAACTAATATTAACAAATAGTTTTAATCTATTCTTGTTTCATTTCTAGGTAGGGCACAAACCTGAACCTCTAAAACACTTCACCATTAAAAAGAAACCAAAATCAGCTTTACTTAGAGCTGATCTTCTACAGAAATCTTCTGATGCAGCATCAAACTTGAACAAAAAATCATCTGCTCCTGTTATTCCTGTCAGATCAAGGGGTATGCCGAGAAAGATGACTGACACCAGTAAGTTTGGTACGATAAGCTTTGCTTTTTTCTTCTTTAATGCTTCTGCAACTTTTACTAATAGTATTCATAATAAGTAACCATTTCGACATGGTTTGGGAAAAATTACAGTGGAACTTTGGTATTGAAGCTTACAAAAATTTCACTTTTCAATTGTTATGTTTTTTTAGAAATATTCGTAGTAACGACTCATAATTTTTACTGAGAATACACTACAAAAACACACGCTTGTCTATTTTCCACGATATTTCTTTGACTAGTTTCAGTTATTACACCATTTTCAATTTCTAGTTTTGTAAATGGTGTAATAGCCGAAACTAGTCACTCAGTGTCTGTAATAAAAACCTTTCGTTCACCTGCCTCATCTACACAACTTCTTGAAAGTTGAATCTTCTACTGCAAGTTATGTCAAAATTGTTTATGAAACTAAATTAAACTTTGCTGGGAACTTTTTCATTGGTTTTGTTGGCAGTATTGCAAATTAAACTAGATATGAATACAATGTTTTCAAATTGTATGACAATGGAAAAGATAAATATCATCTATCATATGAATAGTCTCAGAACCTCTGTATAACCACAGATATATCAAAAACAGTTATGTCAGATGTCAAATGCAATAGATCAATGAATAAATCAACAACAAAAACCTTCTTACACCAGCAAAAATAAAAACATAGATGAAAATTGGTTTTGTAAGACTTCCTGCTCCTGTCATTTGAAGGTAACCTATCAGAAAAGGTTCAAAAAACATTTGGAAATATACCTTGTTGCTACAGATAAATATTTTACCTAAAGATTTATTCAGCTTAGTAAAAACTGTAAATAAGAATATTGAACTGCAAAAAGTAAAATTATTCTTGAGGTTTATGGCTGTTGTAGAATTATACTCTTGAGGTATGTAAAAATAGACTGCTTCTTTGAAAACAATAAATTCAATATAGATTTGTTGCCAAATGCATAACGTATTTTTGATTTCATCTACTCAGCATCGTCTAAGTCCCAAAAATATTTACATGATTTTTTTGCCGATTCAGCTTCTAGACGATATTGTTCAGCTGTCGACATTGAATATTCATCACATTCATAGTAAAAAATTACCAGATGGCATTTAAAAAAAAGTTGATAGAATCCAATGAACAAAACATTGCCTTCAAAATTGGTTCATAACAGAACATGTGTACTTTTTCTTGTTTTTTTTGCTTGAAGTGAACAGCAAACATTTTTTTTTAATCAATGTATTTCCTAAAATACAAAAATAAACATAAAACATACCAAATAAACATAGGTTGCTTCATTGCAAAAAGGAATATATAGTTTACATAAATAGGGCTGATGTTTAAATTTAATATAATATATGTTTTTATGCCTATCAAGTACATTTCATTTAAAATAACAGGGCCATAATGTGACAGAAATATCTGGTTATTAGTGTTTCTGGGAAAATACTGACTGTTTGATTTGGTTCTTGCTGCATGCCTTTAATAACACGTGGGAAAAATTTTGAATGTCATTTAATGTTCAATATCTTTTTTAGCTCCTCTCAAAGGCATTCCAAGTAGGGTGCCAACATCAGGATTTCGATCTACTGTCTCCAATAACAACACAAACAACCGGCCTCCCTTATCACGAGCACCGGCTGGCAGAAAGGAAGGAGGGGTAAAATTATTGGACATTGCTGATCAGCCTCTGGGATATGTTGCTGCAAAGAAAAGAAAGAAGATGCAAGGTATACTACTTCATTAAAAAAAGGAAATATGAATACTTCAACTCTGAGAATTAGACTCTGAAGTAGCTTTGCTAATTTTTTATTGATTGATGTATTTTCATTTTGTTGTAGAAATCGAAGATGCCAAAAAAGCTACAGAAAATGCAGCCCTACAAAGTCCGCCACCTGCTACTGGTACACCTGATTATGCTGCTGGTTTAAATTCTACCCCAGGATATGCTCCACCTACTCCACAACCCATAACAACGGCAGGTATGTATAGATTCACTAATTCCTCATATACATTTCTTTACAGATGAGAATACATTTAACTTGAAACTTTTTATGCTACTTGAATCCCGCAAGAGGCCTATAGTATTCATTAAATAAAAGCAAAACGAATTCTGAACAAGACAAAAAATAAAAGTTCAAGTTTTCCTTCTTCAGGGGGTTGCAACAATATAGGGAAAGTTCTGTGAGATGCCTTTAACCTGGTATAGCAACTCATGTATAGAATTTTCATGTGAATCAAGTGACCAATATGATATACTTCTTCGATTGACGACTTGTTTATTTTGTGGAAATTCATGTTCACTGAGGATACACTACAAAAACACACTTTTGTCTGGAAAATGGTATAATAGCCGAAACCGGTCAACAATAAAGAAATATAGTGGAAAATAGACAAAAGTGTGTTTTTGTAGTGTATCCTCAGTCAATATGATATACTTCATTTCATTCAGACCAAGTGTCGCGTTTTGCTATCACCTTAACTTCATCCACCAAGTATTGGTCTTCACTTTTTTGAGAAATATCTGACAAAAATTGTATGTTTTTTTTTTGGAAAATGTGAGCTATTCAGAAGGGTCACTAATAGTCGTGATCTGAAAAAACAGAGATTAATTCATTTCGAGAATATAAGTATTAAAATGTATAATATTCATTATAACTAAAATGGATTGAATCATAACTAGAATAAGACGAGAAGTCTAAAATTTATTAATTTAGCTGGTGATAACTGCAATAAAAAATATGCTGGTCAGTCTAAACATACCATCAAAGAACATGATACTCATCCAATCATAAAATAATGAAATATGCTTCGAATCTGTTAAAAGGTTCCATTCTGAACTGCATATTGTTCACTCTTCAATAAACTACTGTCCAAAAATTTGTGGGAACTTTCCTGGAAAATAAATTGTTGATGTATGATTCAAAGTAGAAGAGGAAGCTGCCTGTTGTTGATAAAAAAGATTGAATTAGAATTAGTGAGATCATCTCCTAATGATGCCATGTTGGTTGTTGAGTATTGCACTTTTGGTGTGAGAGAGAAGTATTTTCATTGGATGCATCATACGTTAGCGGTTCCAATCTACCTTTCACTTCTATTTTATTTATATCATCATATACATACACCCTTTGACATAAATAATTAATTTTTATGAAGTCATTTAAGTTTGGTTATTTGTGAATTGATTGGTATCGAACTATAGTAATTTGAAGGATGTTCCTATGTATAGAGTGCCAAATTAAAAACCTTACTTTGTTATTTATAGAAGTGCATGGATGTCAGTCGGAAATTGTTGGCATGCCTTCAGTAATGTATTTGTAGCAACATATTTCTTGATCAGAACTCCCGGCTGTGAATAATAATAATGATAATGGAAATGCCCGGAAGTGGTAGTAATAATTAGAACAGTAATAATAAAGTACACTTTGAATTTTATTTTCAAAGAGTATTATCTAAAACTTCTTGGAAACTGTATTAGCAGTTCTCTCATAACAAGACAACATTTCAAATATGGTATTAGTAGATACCAAAAAGTGCATTTTTTCTCCGAAAAATTGTTATCATATCTCACATTCTTGATGTCAAATAATATTGACTGTTCAGCATTAATTGAAAAAATCAATTTCAATGTAGCAGAATGCAATAGAAATTCTTGGTTGTGTCATGTCTATTTTCATTTTAGAAATTATCGCTGTTTTAGCCCGATTTCTAGACTGATGAAAAAAGGCAAAGCACCCACCTGATAGCTTGGACTTTAAGTACACTTTGAACAACTTTCAAATTGACGTTTATATCAACTTTAAATTTTTATTTTTCATTTCATACATTTTATTACTAACAGAGGTTACCCATTATAAATATATAAAAAGCCTGAATTTGATAGAGATGCTTCCCATTAAAACGACTAACTTGATTTATAAAATCATTCTTTTTTTCAGCACCTTCCGCTTCAGTTTTGTCTTCTCCACAACCGGCAGTAATTCAACCCCCTCCTACACCCATTGTCGCACCACCAACTCCTGCGCCAGTTCAACATGTCTCTCCACCTACACCGGCTCCTCCACCGACTCCGCAACCCGCCATCACTCCTCAGTTCATACAGACCATGCGACCCGTACCACCACTATTGGCTACAACCCCGTCCGGACAGAGGGCCATCATCACAGAACAACCTCAGCAGGTGCAGACACAGCAAATCATACGAACGCCGGTATTGGTAGCTCAGAGACCTGTTCAGCAGACTCAGCAGACGGTCACACATATCAGAATCCAACCCCAGCCGACGACAAATGTATTGCAAAGGAGGGGTTTGGCACTCACAGTAAGTTTCTTATATTATCTAGCTAGCAAATGCCAATGTGTCCAATGCAACAGTTTCATCTTAATAAAGATTTTGAATTATTTGGATATGTTGAACAATCCAGAGACAAATTTTCTATAAATACCTTCAAAACATTGTATTGTTCTTTGGTACACTCGGTCTTGGAAAGTAATTGTGTAATATGGAGTCCTCTTATATCTGTGTTAAGAATCACACGTTAAAAGGTAAGACCTCGTTAATCCTTAGCTCCCACAAGTTTCGACTTCTGAGGGTTGTTGTTCGTAGTGGTACGACAGCTGGTTAACAGAATAACATTTTTTTTTTTAAACGATCAAGCAGATATATTTAGGATTGTGAAAGTACAAAACAAATTTCTGAGATCGTGTGGATTTAAGTTCTAATATCAGAGATTCGATTATCAGTACTCCGCTACTCAGCTACTTTTGAATTTATCTACTTTAAAGCACCACCAAGCTGAAATTGATTTAAGATTTCTTTAAGACTTCAATGTAAATTCAAGAAAAATCAAAGTGTCGGATTAGGAATTTTTTGTATAATAAATATTTTTATACGATGGAGCAAATAATTTTTTGGCTCATTTTAGAAAGAACTGGTATGTATAAAATACAAGACAAAGTTTAAATAGACCTTTGCAGCTACTGCGTCTATTTACTCTCTGAATATTTCAGACAGTTCTCTCTTTTAAAATAGACGTCATCTGTGCTTCACTTGTCAAACCCCAAGCTGATATGCCATATGAGATTGTAGAGTAAAATTGTGCATTACAGTAATGCAAATGTATCAACAATTCTAGTAAGTTGGTAGTTGCTGATTTTAACAGTAAACCTCTTGTGGCATAACTAAATCTTACAAAAGATGATTTTTGTTGTTACAGACTAATTTATTGTTGATTTATTGTCTTGCTTTCGGTATTTCCCATCCATCCATCTTTCGATATGAATGATATGAAATTACCAAATGAAATTAACTGCATAAACAGTTTCATCAAATTAAAAAGACACGTAAAGAAATTTCTAATGAATAAGGAATCATATTCACTAGATGAATATTGCAGCTGAGGGCCATATCTTCGTTATGACCCTATTCCACTTTTATATTTTATGTCTTGTAATGTGCAGAGTATTTCTGTGAAAATAAATATGTAGTGACAATGGCGTATACAGACATTTCATATGGGTATTCTTTTATGATTTGTGTAAATTTAGAAAATAAATAATGAGAAAACGTATTATTTTACAGAGAGAACAAATGTTGGAAGCCCAGGATATGTTCCGAACTGCCAACAAAGTTACTCGACCAGAAAAGGCTCTCATCCTTGGATTCATGGCAGGATCAAGGGACAATCCCTGTCCCCACCTGGGCAATATTGTAACAATAAAGCTATCAGAAGATCAGGAGAATGTCCTTCAACCTGACGATACATACCTTACTATGTTGGTAGAGACTCATTTCCAAATGAACTACAACAATGGAGAATGGAAAAGAATCAAAAAGTATCGCCATGTCGAAAATATGGTTGAACAAATAACGCAGAGTGCTCCTACAGCAGCTTTAGTATGACAAAATGTTCATAGGTAGTCGTGAGCAGCAGCAAAATAGATTTCATCTTCCTGGCAAAACTAACAATGCAAGTTTTTAGGGTATTTGGGGAATTTTCAATATCAAATTGGTTGTTTATTTTTTCAAATGTCAAGTACAATTCTGCTAGTGTACTTTGAAAATTTTCAACCCCAAAATTGGGGAAGAACAAGAAATTTGCTAAATTAATCAGGATATTAAGAGAAAGGTATTTTTCTCATCATAACTAATTGAAAGCCTGCTTTAGATTCTGAATGTAGACTGAGGGGATGTGCTTTTAAAGTATTTAGTTTGTAAGATAATGAATTCTCCAAAACATATATACTGAATTTTTTGATGAATTGAGAGTACTTTTAGAGAAAATGTATATATAATAATATGATATATTATTTATTGTTTTTCTTTTCGATATATTGGTTAAAAAAAGAGCTTTTTAGAAGCTATCGTTTTATTTGATAGAATGATTGTTACAATCTTTTGTGTACACTTTTGTATATATTGTTAAGATAATAAAAATATAATATTTTTTATTTCATTTTTTTCATTCACAGACTTTCTATCGATAAATTGAGTGAGGCATTAACGATANGGTATTGAATATCCAGTATAAGGACACTTAAAAAACAAAATATCACAGTTAAAATACTTTTTATTTCCATATCACTATCAACACTTTTTTTACACAAACAAAAAGATTCACAATAAAAACTTGTTTTCATAATGCTTTATGAATTAGTAAATAATAATTTGACTACTGCCATATGGGTCCTACAATAAAATTCAATTGGAGTGAAACAGCGAGTATGAAATTTAATAAAAAATGTGCTGTTTCACTTAGCTGATCTATTTTGCAGTTTTTTTTGCTCTGTACAGTACTGAAAATGACAAAAACAAAATAATTTTCAACACAGCATTACAGCTCTGCAGAGATCATTGATTACTAAAAAAAAAGATTATACGAATTGGCTAAACAGAAAATGAAAGTTGAAGTTTGATACTTCTTTACAGAATCTTGTCCATCTTTATACAGGTTCAAATTTAATCTATCACATATATTATGTCTTTGATCATTTGAGAATTGAATTTCATTTCCAAACTTTAATGACTCCATCATTAGATGAAGTAACCAAAAAGCATTTTGATGCTTTACACATAATTATATCAGAAATGCAATCTCTGTGGCCAGTAATTGGAAGTTCCGGGCCTGACCTAGGAGCCTCTTCCCCATTATCAGTTCTGACTGGACCATTCTCTTCGTAAGTAACCAGAGAGCCTAAAATATTATAGAATAAAAATAATAGTATATATAGTGTGCCCCGCTTTTCATAAATACACCCCTATATCTATGATGTTTAAAATGCAATACGAAACAGAAATCCGTCAAATTGACCAACTTATTTTTCCTTTAGGCACGCTGTTTTATGGGGAGTAATAGGGTCAATTATTCACGAATATTATACTAGGAAACAATGAAAACTGTTTTCAAATTGGGATTCAGCATCCACAAAAACCCATGTGCACAAAATAATTTTGGAAAGTGAAAAATCATCTCAATTCAAATCTTAGGTTAAGAGAGTTATTTTACTGCTTGATATACTTCACATATTAATCGATTTTTCATAGTTTAATTTCCTCAATTGAAAACTTGGGTTTTATGAAATAAAATATATTTACTGGAGAGAAGGGTTATAATTTTTATCAGTTCTTTCAAATCATATAAGGTGTGTTCGTTTTAAAAATCTGAATTCGAGCGAGCAGATGCAGATTTGATACCATGTAATTACAGAGTGGACCGAGCGAAATATATTTAATGAAAGCTAAATTCATCTGAATGACAACTTAACATTTGTGATATTATTTTTCATCAGAAAACCTCTAACATATGATTTATGGAGTTTTTTTCTCTCGTAAATACCAGCAACAGATCTGCATTATTGAACGCTTGCCAATCGAAGCAAGCTAATTGAGTGCTCAGATTTGTATCAAACGAGCACACCTATATAAGTCGTGAATAATTGGGCTAGAGTGCATTAATTAATTTTACAATTTTGATAAGATTGTTGATAACCTGAAGAAGGCCAGCTCTAGAATACTACTATTGAAAATAAGGTTGTTACTGTAATTTCTCAACATCTATCTGGTACTTTCAAATTTTTCCTAGGTTCTAAGCATTGAAGAAAAAAGTTTTCTGAAAATTTTAAGCGTGTCATGTACATTTTTTCATAGAGCAAGATATCAATTTCCTAAAATATTTTATAACACGTCTTTTGTTATATTAACAAGTTTTAAAAAAATTCAACATTGAATTTTATAAATTAATCTTTAATATCAATACAAATTCTTTCAGTAAACTGTATTTGAAACTGTTGAATAATCAAGATGTTGAAATTGTGTTACATAAGCTTTCAAAACATTAATGGTCACAGGGCAACATCATAAAATCTCAATGGACTATCACACTGATATTTGGATAACCACCTTGATTCTGGTTCAAAATTAAAAAAATTGCGTGTTACTTCCTGACGAATGAACCATTTTCTTATAGAACTAATGAATAATATTGATTATATCATTTTTTTTATTGTTAAGGTGTGTTGTCGACAGTGTATTTGCAAGTCACTCTACTACTATGTTAGAAAAAATATCTGTTGATATTAAAAAATATTTACCATCAATAACTCGACTTGTGTAGGCTAAAGTTATTCCTGGAGGATCAGTAGCAGCTGGTATGGCTAAATATGATTCACTAGGATTATCCAGATTCCAATATCTCAGTCTTTGGTCTGTTCCACCAGATAGCAGGTATGATGAGCGATCAATGGTACCTCCATGAAGAGCACATACAGTGTTCGATGTACCCTGATGATTAAAAAATTGCGATTGATTAGAATTAGAGTGGATAAGTTTTTTCAGAATCAAATCTTTTTTGAAGAATGTATATGACCTACATCCATTCAGTTTGCCTATTATCAGCATAATTGGTTTCAATAGAAATGAGTATGTTGAACCATTGTTATTCTTATGTACCAGAAGTACTTTCAGTTTATACCTGTAAATTTCTTAAAACTATCATCGGTTACAAATTATGTGAATATTATGACTAAACGTAGACTGGATAGTAGTTTCATTACAATTCGTTATGAAATATTGCTCAAACTATAATTGTAAACAATAATGTGAATACTGAGACCACGTTTTCAAAAATTTTTTTAAAGTTTTAGTATACTACTCCTATAGATCGTAGTACAAAAACTGACGAATAAAGTGGCAATGCTTGAATATTTGCTACATTCCATACTATATAAATGGATTTATTTTCAATTACTGACCTGTTTAACCAATGGAGGCGATACACTGCCCCATAACGTCTGTTCTCTATAGCCAGTTTCAATGTTCCACATGGATATTTCATTATTGCCATGAACGCTAGACAGCACCCAAGAATTTTTTGTCGGGTGAGCTAACACTTTCCTGATCTTCACATTACCTACAATATTTTTGAAATGAGTTTTAATCGTGATAGACTTTTTTCACCAACCTGATGGATGATCGAAGTTCATTATAGGCAGCTGAAACCTCAAGTCCCAGGCAATATGGTTGCCAGTATTAGTTCCCAGTACTAACCAGTTCTGTTGAGAATCCAAGCAGAAAGTAGTGAGTACACTTCGTTTCAATTCATTTTCCAACTTGAAAGCCCTGCCGTTAGAACGAAGATCCCAACCAATCAAGTCTCCATACAAGGTTGAATAAACAATAATACTTTGAGACCCAGATTCCATGCACTGAACATCCACGGCATAACCATCCAAATCATCCACTTGCCAGGACTGCAATAATCTCATTCTGAAAACAAAGTCATTGAACTCACTCAACAAATATTTTAGTTATCCCACATACTTATTGCTACTTGAATCAACTCTAAGTATACTGATTGCACTGTTGTGGTAGGTTACTCCTAAAGATTGTCCCCCATCACATACAGTAGTTCCTGTAATCCTTACTCCATCAGCTAACTTGTAATGTTGCCTTGCTCGGTTAGCTATGTTTTTACCCTCTATTTTTGAACAATCCCATAACCTAAAAATATTTGTTATAAATCTTCGTTTTAACAAATGTTGGTATTTTAGAGTACTTAAAAATATTATTTAACTAGATAGACAGGATAAAGATAAGTGATGACAGCTACATTTTTTTATACTGACATACCTACCTTAGTGATACAAAAAAGTCATGTGATCTATCATAGATAATTTCAGAAGAAATAAAAAAGAAATGTTCACGATTGTGTCAATATTAGTACCCTAATAAATAATAAGTTTGCTTCTCAATATGGGGCCATCACCAAATTGAAAGCAAAATTATTCGATAAAGTTTCAGAACCTCAACTACTATTATGAACGAGGTAAATAATAAAAAATGGAGTGACCTAAATATCATTTTTATAGAGGTATCGTACCCAATCTATGGGTACGATACCTCTATAATAGGTACCACCTATCGAAAAATTACTCGAAGTGGCTGTATACGATCAGTTATTACATCACGTTGAGTCAAATTGTATTTTAATGAATAATCAGTCAGGATTTCGAAAACAGTTTTCATGCGAGTCCGCGTTACAATTAACTTTATGCCATATAAAAACTCAATTGGATAATAAGAAATATGTAATTACTGTGTTCCTTGATCTGAAGAGAGCATTCGAAACCATTGATCGTAAAATATTGTTGGTTAAACTCAAGCAATATGGGATAAGGGGCAAGGTATACCAATGGCTAAATAACTACCTCCAGCAACGTAGCCAAAGGGTACGTTTCGAGTCTGAAGTTTCGTCTGAGTTAGATAATGATGTTGGCATTCCATAGGGAAGTGTTTTGGGCCCATTATTGTTTCTATTATACATTAATGACATTAACCTCTTTGTGGAATGCGAATTCATTAACCTCTTTGCTGATGATACCTCAATTGCTTGTAGTGACGTCTGCCTAGATACGGCTATTCAAAAAATGGATAATGTTTTACAATCAATTAGCAAGTATTTGAGTTTGAATAAATTGAAATTGAATGTGTCTAAAAGTCAGGCTATGATATTCACAAGTAAATACAGATATGATACAATTAATATTAATAGCCTTAACCTAAACATCAATAATGAACAAATTAATTCTTGTAATTCTATTAATTCTATTTTTAAAATTGTGATTTTCGTATATTATTGTTGCATTGTATTTCTTTTTTTGTGTTTGTCTAATGTTGTATATACACACCGTTGATTTAATGGGGATATATATGTATATTAGGGTTACCTATTTTTTAATAAAGATCTATCTAGTAAATGTGGTAAGGTCACCCCCATCTTTAAGATGAATAGTCCATTTAGTTAAAGCCCATAACTAACCCATCTTGTTTTTCAAAATTATTTGAATATTATTTTATAGGCATATTCTTAAAGCATGTCTTGGTAGAAATATTTTAACTAAATAATTTTCGTGGAAACAAATCAAATTCAACTGTTGTTTCTTCATTTTTGGAAAATAATTAGTATCACGTTAAGGTTGGGTAGTGCCCTGTTGGGATTTTTTGTGACCTCATTTATTTAATATTCACATCACTGACAATATTCATTTCATACTTCACAGTAAATAATTATTAAATAAATAGTAAAGGTTACAAAATATGTCATTCCAACAATATTTGAAATTCTAGTGAGAGCTGGTAAACCAATCGATATTCGAGAGTCTTTACTGAAGTTTACAAAACTGCTAAGGCTATACCAATTCATAAAAAGGATTCACATAATGATTTTGAAAATTATCGAAAAATATAAATATTGAGTGTTACATCTAAACTTATTGAAAAAAAACTGCAACTAATAGAATCATCTAGTTTTTGGAGAAATGTAAGATCCTAATGGATCATTAACATGGTTTTAGAACTTCTAGATCAGTTTAGACAGCTACGGTCAGTAAATTTGAGTGTATTTACAATGAAATTGATGACAGCAAATATGTGGTATCAACTTTATTCAAAGTATTTTATTATGTTCGTACTGATGTATTGGTTAGTAGATTATATAATGTTGGAATTGAAGTTTTTCTCCGCCAATGGATTAAGTGTACACAGAATCCCCCAATAAAATTGTAAATTTAATGAAATTTCTATTGTAATTTTGAAAAAAAATTAAATCAATGTAATCTGATATGTGCTAAATAGCCAGGCTCCATTAATGTTAATGCATAGTAATGAAATGACCTAATATTGAAGTTTTTTTTTATTTTGATGACGGAGACGAATTTTGGTCTCTGAAACTTTAGATGAGAACTTATAATAATTAATTACATAATTTTTTCAGATCGTGAAAAGTATAAGTTCTCAAAACGGTTACTAAATACAAAACCATAATCTAAATCATAGTAGTTTGCCATTTTTTCTGTGGTAGATGTGACTAAGTCAAGGAAATTTATTTAGGTTGAAGAAAATAGCTCTATAACTGATATATAAATAGACCTAATGACATCATTGTTATTCAAATGAAAAAAATTACCTCTTTTTATTTGAGGTGAATAATAACTTGCGATAAATAAACTTCATAGAACTAGCCACCATAACATTCACTATTACAAATGAGAAGAAATGAAATATAATATAGAAATATGATAACATAGAAAAGAATGTCTAGAAGAAAATAATAATTCTATACCTGACTGTACCATCTGATGAGGAGCTTGAAAAAAGAGGGGTATCGGGGAGTGCACATAGCTTAATCACAGGTCCTTTGTGGTCATGGAGATGACCTACCAAGGTGCCCCCTAACCGCCAACCTGGTGGCGGTAACTGAGGCCGCCATGTTGCCTGTTCGACCCATTCCTTGTTTCTAAAATTAATTAGAATCAATCGCAATTACTGGGCATAGACTGAAAGAAAATACCTAAGTACTTCATAGTAGAGGTCTTGCTGTCGTTTTTTCAAAATTGTGAGTTCCTTATAACAGTTCGACTTGCGATCTATAAAATACAAATTTTTTTTAAATCCAAAATAGTTGAGGAATTGTTTGTATAGTCAATATAATCAAACGTGTTTGTAGGAACTTCAAGTGTGGAAAAAGTCTGGAAAAATATTCAAGAAAACAACTCGACATTCATTTTACATAATGCTATAGAAATAAATTACATAAAAAATATAAATTTTACAAAATAAATTTTATAACTTTTATTTNAAAGTTCACTATGGTTTATTCTGAGTTGAGGCATTCGCTGAGAATAAACGGCAGTCAACAATCCCAAGAATAACTTCTTGTGTGTTAACTGCTACGATACATATCTCTAAAGTTGTTTATTGAGAAAGAAAATTGAATATTCAAATGGGCAAAATTAGGTGCTGCCAGGAAGAACATAGCTATTAACATTCAAGTTGTCTACAAAAAAAATTCAAGAACTAAAGGAGGGTAATATGGACAAATCCAATTTCATCTTAAAATCAAGTACTTCTTCAAGATGCACAAGAATCGGAACTTGAATCTATTAATGTAATTGAAACTCAACGTAAAAATCTTCAGAAGCAATTGGCATGGATGACAGTGGAAACAAGTAAGTGTTCAAACAGAAGCGAAAATCAAAATGGGCAAGTCTGCTTCAACTTACTCTTTGGTATTAAAACATTTCTGGTACTCAAACTAGCAGCATGCAGCCAGTGGGATAAGAAAAGTCAATAGCATAAAAAAGATCTTGATCATCACAAAAAAAATCCGCCCATAACTTCTCGTCATAATAACTGCCATGAAAATTAATGTTAATAAATTGTGTTGATGAGGATGAGTAATGTAAGAAGTCGATCTTGAAGGGGGTCCTCCGGAATTGGTACTTTCTGAATGTCGTGTCAACACTTCCGAACTATAATTCCACTCAGAATTAATGTTGGTTTCTAATGATCCAGAAGTGTTAGTTCTGTGCAGATTTCTGGATTCGGCAGGGTATTAGTTGGAATAGTTAATATTACTCAGGACAATTGGTTCAAGTTGATGCTTTGAGATAATAATAACTTAAATACTCACCTATGCGGCATGAAATCTACTTTTTGTGGTTCATCAAGATATATAATCAAACTTTTAACATTGCAGCTCAATGGGCTGAGTTCAAGTTTTCCTTCTGACTGCTTGTTTTGCTTACTGTCAAGAGCCCTTCTCGATTTATTAGTTTTTTTCAAAAGATGCCCCATTTTCAAAAAATAATTCTCCATGCTCTCATTCATGCCATTTGCTTCTAGTCTTCGAAACAACTGAAAATCCCTCATTTGAAGAAGAGGTGGTCACTAAAAATGTTAAGGACTTACACTTTTCAAACTGGTCTGAGAATCTCTGTGTAACCCAGTATTTGGGACTCTCCCAGTATTCACATAATTTCTAACTGACATTCTTTCTTTCATCACATCCAGAATAGCATCAATTTCTTCATGACAAATAACACTATCGTACACATTTCTTGGAATAGGAGTGACAAGAGAATCCATAAATTGTACATAACTGAAAAAATATAACATTTGAGAATTTTAAAATTCTGACCAAAAAAAAATTTTTCCCCACATATTGAATACAGAAGCTCTTAATGAATGTCATGTGGAACATAGAAATTTTAACGTCAGTAGACAATACACGTCAATAGACAATCTGTAGATTCGTATTTTGACCTATTTGGCTCTCATCAGTACATTGTAGCCAAGCGCAAGGGTGAGTGCTAATTGGTTGCATGAAACACACATAATAAGTTAGAAACATAGTCGCAAGTTCGTCACCAGATTGCAATATTTATTTAATTATTCATTTATTGATTTACAGACTTGCGACTTTACACATAGACGCACATAGAGAAGGGTAAGAGAGAAAAAAAGAGAAAATATAGGGTGAGTATTTTGAAAGGTATGCTATCTTCTCAAAATGGGTATACTGAAATGTGTGATATCAAATGGTAAATGATTGTGAAGCTTGAAGGAAGATCTCACTCTCAATATAATAATTTGAAATTATATATTATACTCACTCCTGCAGTTCACATAACTCATATTTCATGTAAGGTCGCAATTTTGGCAACATCTTAGCTTGTACATCTAATGTTGACATCACATTTGCTGCTGAAGAAATAAAACCAACAAGAGCATGTCTTATCCATAAATTGGGATGCACTAGAAGATATGAACACTCAGTTATCAGTTCACATAATGCAGGTTTCGCGATCAGTCCCAGCTCTGTTATGGAAGACATGGCGTCTATGCTCTTTGCAATGACAAATTCGGAGGAATCCGTTAGACCCTGTAAAAAACTGAGTTGAATAACATCTTCACAGCATTTTGTCAACATACCTGTAGCAAAAGTGGGATCAGGATAGTAGCACAGTGCCAGCCAATATATGATACCAACCCAACAATAGTATCAAAGAAATCCTCACGTACTTCCTTATCCTCCTTGTCATTCAAAAATGTGATCATATGGGAAAGGATTAAATCACATGCTGAAAAATAAAATTGAATGAAGTGAATACCAGAGAGTGAATCTGTTTAACTTAAAGGATTAACAGATTTTTATCAACTGTAGCTTTTTCGCCAGATTCATATTTTTGAAAAAATCATTTCGAATTAATTCAAGATACTCCCTCTCTCTACAGAATATTCCAACAAAAAACTTCAGATTTCAAGATAAAACAGAAAAATTTCCCACAGACCCAATCAGTAACATTTTTCTTGTAATTATAATCTCCTAATTATGCCTGCTTGTCTCCAAAATGTGTTCTTTCTTTTCATGTAATCCACTTGTGAGGTTTTTATTTTTCTACATTGTAAAATGTCCTATTTTTGTATTTAGGGTGTCATCGACATTGACTGCATTGGTCATGTCCTGGGTAGGCAATGTTAATAACTCCCCGAGCCATCTAGGGAGCATCATAGCTATTCGCAGTTCGTCAGCCATGTAACGTTGCAGAATCCTCCCAGCTTCATCTAGATAAATTCTCTCGAGAAAAATATCTGGTCTAGGTTAGATCAAACTCACGACTTTCCAATCGTGAGTCGGGCGCGCTACCACTGCGCCAATTCACCGCTTGAAGACATTTATTATTATTATTAAATTCAAATAAATTGTTCACAAGTTAACTTGATATTTTCAGTTGTTCTCGGGCATAACATAAAATTTGAAGAGTATTGAGACATTTTCAAAACCCAACAATGGAAAATGGGAAATCTGAATTTCAGCACTTTTTTGACGTTTTTTTCTTTTATGACATTTTTGTTTGTCCTCAAAGAAATGGCGTTGAAGACCATTTAATGTTTTCAATAATAGGAAATATTTAACTTATTCAAATCACATTGATGGATGAAGCCGTTACTACGTGGTAGGAAATCATTATGGAGAATGAAACTTTCTATGTTTTTTACAACTTTTATTTGTAACTAACGTTACTGCAGTTTCGTTTGAGTTTATTGTATAAGTTTGAAAATGTCCGAATAGGACGAAACTGCAGTAACATTAGTTACAAATGAAAATGGTAAAAAACATTGAAACTTTCATTCTTCATCATTCAAAGTACATTTGCTTAACATTTAAAATACCCTTATTACTATAAAACTATAAAATTAACACTCATATTAGTATGTAGGTATATATAAAAGAATTACATCAGTAAAGTATTCAAAATCAAGAACTAATATAAAAACATAACAAAATACAAACTAAAAACAATACAATAAACATATAAGGTCTTACTATAAACATATACACATTCAAATTCAGTTGCAGTCAACTTATTTCTCAATAGCATTTGGTGAACAGCTGAAAATATCTACATGGAAACACATTTCTATTTCTCAACATTTGAGTAATTGGTATCTCCATTGCTATCTCCAGTTTGTAGATTCATATTGAAACTAATTAAGAATACAATTTCATCAGTCAATATTACCTGTAGAAAAGCACATTCATTAATTACTGTCTGATTTTCTAATGTTAATAAATTGTGTTGATGAGGATGAGTAATCCACCCTTCTTAAACCCATCTTAAATGAATATTATTTGATTTTTATCCCAACAGCAAACCGTTATTTTAACATCTTCAAAAGGAAGAATAATCTTCCTCTTTTTTTTAATAAATAAACATGAAAAAAAAAATTGAGTGTTATAAGTCAGTTAGAAATTCTTCAACACTGTAGTACGTTTTTGCAAAAAGGAGTTTTTTAATTTCTTGTTTGAACCTAACGGATTTTTTGCATTCTTTAATCAAATTAGGTGACTTGTGGAAAGTTTACATCCATTGTAATAAATACTTTTCTGGTAGAGACTTGTTAAATGCTTCGGTGCTCGTTACGAGTTTCGTAGATGTGATAAATTTTCTCTGATTCAAAAAACTTCCTATTTTTGAAAACGGAAAAGCAAACTTCATAGATGTAGACTGATGTCATCATTAAAACTAGGAAGTTTGCAAATGCTCTCGACATGCATCAGTTGAATTTAAATTTGCCAAAATACGAAGAGCTCTTTTTGCGAAGCAAAAACTCTAGAAGCAAGGGGTGAAGTCCCCCAATGCATACAGCCATATTTAAAGTTGGAATGAAAGCTTTATTTGCTTAAATACTTCTCAGATGGGTGATGTTAGAAAAACGGACATTATATACTTATGTAAACTTGGTCTATACATCAAACACAAAATAATGTTTCATACAATTTGATATTTGATGTAAATTCAGAAGTATAAATGTAATATTTCCTGGTTTGATAATGAACTTACATGACTTTATCATGTGGTGCAATGCTAGTTCCCTGATATTAAAACAAGTTCTCATTTGATATTTCACATCACACAAGGGATGAAACTCCACTTACCTTTAGTATTTCCGAAAAAAACACAAAGTTTTATGATACTGTACTCCATTAATGTTCTTTTTACTGTAGACTCAGTATCAGTGAGAAGAGCGGCGACAGTATTGGATACCATAGAATGAAGAGCATGTAGTTCCAACTCATAATTGAAAGTATATTCATCTCTCTGGTTATCAATATTGTTTTCATACCAGTTCTTTTCAATTTGATCCAAATACCTGTCAATTAAAAAGTATTATGGTACACAAAAATAACTAGGTATTAACTATTTTTCGAAATTGTGAGAGCTAATATCAAATAAAAATGATGATTTTTTCTAATTATTTTTTGTCTGTCTCTATATCTACAAACCATATTAAGAACACTTTCTTGCACAGAACTGCTTTTTATAATTTTCAACATTCAATCAACTACTCTTTATTGTCCAAGAAGGTTACCGTGGGTGTTACAAGATGGCGGTGTTTCATTGGCTATTAAAAAAAGTTTCAATCTCTGCAGAGATTGGCTTCTTGGCTCAAACCATGGTTTCACCAAACGGTGGATTAGGTGAAACAAACCACTCATGCCAACCGACAGTAGCCAGTTATGTTGGCAACAAGATTATAAAGAGAATTCAAACATTGAGATAAACAACCACAAATTTAAAATGTTAGTTAAAAANTAAACACTGATTTAACATCATTAATAAAGAGTAGAAATAATATAGGACCAATGTGCGAACCTTGCGGAACCCCTGAAGTTACATGAATTGTTTCTGACACACTGTCAGCTATCCTCACATTCTGCGATCTACCGGAAAGGTAGGATTCAATATCAATCATTTATCATATATCTTGATCATCAATATTTTTTCAACACCAAAAATTATGCAGAGTTCCATAAGGAAAACACAATTGAAAAGTCTAAGATAAATTCGATAACTTACCCAGCTGAAAATATGTCCATAGCAGGTGTAAGAACTTCAGTATCACAAACAGATTCAGCAATCGAACTGTTACTATCTATAATTGTTGTGTTGGGATATAAGAACCTCTCGGGGGCAATGTAGCACACCCTTCTTCTTGACGTATCAAAGAAATATGAATAGTCTGCAGGATTGTCCACAGGGAGGAAGACAGGTTTGAAAGAGGCAAAATCAACAAGTAACACCCAGTTCCAAGATGTGACTGTGATGTTTTCTAACTTTATATCACCATGACACACCCCAACTTTATGGCATTGTGTCAAAGCCAACAAAATTTGAAACGTAATCCACCGTTTTTCAATGTTAGTTAAAAACGGTCTGGTACTCAATCTATCATAGAGAGTGTATTTTACATACTCTCTCATTATAATCCCAGCTTGTTCTGTTACTATTATTCTCTGATAAGGAAGACAGTTGGTAGTAGAACTTAATTTTTTCCTAATTTCCTCTAGATGATCTTTATATTTTGAGAGAGGTAGAGTAGGATCATGTATTGCAAATACCTTGACTACTATCCAACCTTCTTGTGATTCAGCTCTTGCCACTTTAAGAAACCTTGTGGCCCCCAAACTGAAAAAAATTATGATTATCGATGAATTGAATGTAAACAGGTAATGAGGTTCGAACAAAGTACATCTGAAGAATGACAAATTTATCAGAAACCAAAAAAAAATTTTTCAACAAATGTTGAAAAGAATTGGCGAAAAAGAAAAATAAAGAATATATCTTTCTAATTTTCTACTGTTTCACTTACGAGATTTAAAACAACTTAGATGTTTAAAAATTATATCTCACTGACAAAGTCATTTATAAATTTAAGAGTAAAAATATAAAATGTTTGAATAACTTTCTCACCATGTATGGCAAAATTCTGTCTAAAATTGTTTCATTACTGGCATGAGATGCCAGTTCAAGCAATATCCAAAGGCTGTCTCGTTTCGACGAACAATCTTGTAACCCTCTTACACAGGAAGTGACCAATGATATTATAAGGACGACACCTTCACAATCTCGATTATCCGATTTGGAGTCCTGGTTTTCATTATTCCGATCTTGCTTTTCTTTCCTTTTATCTGAATCTGGGTCAACACAATTATAAATTCCTGCTATGTCATTCTTCAAACGCTTAATTTTCTCATCAGAAGTCAAGATTGGACTGGAGGAAAATATCAACATATAAGCCTGAAGAAACCCATAGAAATATTCTGGAAACAAAGTGTTGCGATATTCGTTGAGGTAGGTCTCAGCTGATTTTCTCTGTGTTGGGTCTTTATTTATCATACTTGAGATTAGAGACCTTAGGTCTGGGTTTCCTAATTTGTCTAAATGCTGATCTGGAGAGTATGTACCAGAGCAGTAGGATAAAAGCTGGGAGTATTCAAATGGGACATGAAGTTCATTCCAGAGTTCCAACAAAGCACATCTAAAATTTAAGATTGAAAATTGTCATTAATTTTTGTTTTCATTATCTAAAAACTATATATTTTGGACTTCTGGATCTAACAAATNATCCCAGCTTGTTCTGTTACTATTATTCTCTGATAAGGAAGACAGTTGGTAGTAGAACTTAATTTTTTCCTAATTTCCTCTAGATGATCTTTATATTTTGAGAGAGGTAGAGTAGGATCATGTATTGCAAATACCTTGACTACTATCCAACCTTCTTGTGATTCAGCTCTTGCCACTTTAAGAAACCTTGTGGCCCCCAAACTGAAAAAAATTATGATTATCGATGAATTGAATGTAAACAGGTAATGAGGTACAATAAAATGTGGACATACCTTGCATCGAACTTCACATGGGGAAGATCCATAAGGTATCTATCAACAGGAAAAATCTGGGATGGGGCAATGCCCACAAGCTGATTTCCCATTTTTGCTTAGGAAAGTTCTTGTTTTTACAGAAAAAATATAGGTATATAAATCTCTTGTTACTCTGGAATAAGAATAAAACAAAGTAGTTATGGACCTTGTAGCATACATATTTTCATTGTTATATGGAAATCCTCCAAAGAAATGGAAATATTACTAACCATTTAAAACTGCAGTTGCATAAGGTAATCCATTTTAATTTTTTTTTCAGAAAGAACTCAATGTTATAAAATAATGCTAAGTTATCAGATTTTTCCAAAATTAGCAAGCGAGAATAAGAAATGATTAAGACATCAATAAAGGTTTGACTTCATTTAGTGATTCTAGTATATCATTCATTACTTCATCCTATAAACTATATTTACCAGAAATCAACTTGTAATCGATTGGACGACTTCAGTTATTATTATATGTTATGAATTCAGTTTCCTTCAAATGCCATCTTTAGAAAAGTGATATATATGAAAATTTGTATGTGGCTGGCTCAAGAGTTTTTTATATGTGAGATATACAATATACTAAGTCAATAAAATAGCATTTTTGAGGTGAAAGACGCTTCGCTAAATGAATAAAATAGTGAGAAATATTACTACAAGGCTACTTCACCTGTTTCTTTGTAAAAAATAAACAGTAGATATTGTGAATTGTATAGTGGTTGAAATTGATTATGCTTGTTCCAATCACTTCACCAAAACCTAGATGGTAAATGAAAAATAAACAGATACTTTCAAAGCCACCTTTTAGAAAACAAAGGATATAACAATATTTTCCAATGCTTCTTTGTTATGTTTGTTTTGGTTATGTTCACCTTCAACAGGAATATAAAATTTAATGGAAATAGTAACTCAAATACCTTCAATGACTTTCATTATTCCATACTAGGTAATCCCCATGTATTTATTTCACATTTTGCCCATTTCCGTCTGTAAACCATTCATCATTTCGCTAAAATCTAAAAACAATAACAAACATTTTAGAAGATGTTATAGTGGCAATTGGCAACTGGCAACTTGCGCCGTCCAGGAACTAATAAAATTATTTTGTTGGCTAAACTGGTTACCTGTTTCGTTGTTTATGAAGTGTGCACTACGTTACACTGAAAATGTATCTATCTTTTTTTGCGATAGATACTTGCTCATATCCTCATCTTTGTCTTTGGATTGTATGTGGAACCTGATTTTGAAAATAAAGTCTAGGAAGATGTAAAGGTCATAAATGTCAAACGATCTTTAAAAATCTGTCAGCGGAATTTCAAGTTGTTTTTATCACTAATGTGACGAAAATTTGCCAACACCTCTGTAATTCCTATCAGACCAGCAGATACCACTGAAATAATTCAAATCCACATTGACCAGACGAAATATGTCCAACTGGTGTTTTCTTCTTAACTGATCCATAGTTGGAAAACTACATTCATTTCAGCCTCACCTTCAAATTCTGAAATGTTCAAATTAGAATCCTATATAACTCCGATTCTGTTGAGTTATGTCAATCGATATATAAGTAATTTCAAACTAGAAGATTCCCAGGTAAGCTGATGATAATGATTTTCAGTTTGGTATACCTAGTTGCAATTTTAGGTATCCTTGTGGGGTGGTGATGCATCTTTTCACAATCTAGAGCTAAATTTACAAGTTTTAGAACAGGAACTTCAGCTACCATTTAGTTTCGTGTCTGGCAGCATAAGAGAACTCTTGATACATGTACCATGGACGAAGTTAGCGTCCGAACCTATTACAATTACCATAAATACCATAGGTATAGTTTTGCAAAGAAAGTCATTTGGAATAATGAACATAATTTTTTTTTCAGAATGTATTCTGAATTTGAAAGGAAGGGATAGTACTTCAAGAGCAGAAAGTTCTCAGTTGAGAGAGAAGATAAAGAAACCAACTAGTCATGGGTAAAATATGTAGAACTATAAACACATAAATACTTTTACTCACTAGTAAAGTATGTTTGATTGATTGATATTCATACTGTAAGAGATTTCTTGTTATAACATTGGGCATAATTTACTTTAGTGTTACCAAATGAATATCTAATCTTAATCATATCATTCCAGAAAAGAAGTCGAAGCACCGCAAGGTTACGTGCAACATCTCATCAATAAAATAGTGAGCAATATCAGAATTTACTGTAACAATGTAATTCTCAAATATGTTGAAGAAGATATAGTACTATCTATGAATATCAAACTCTTGAAATTTGAGTCTGCAAATAGTAAATGGGAATCTGCATATACAGGTAAATAATTTGACCTTAGATACATCAGAAATGTACAAAACTAGATGGGTTTTTTCGTAAAATATTTACAGCTGCTTGGGAGTTTGTCCGTTTCTTGCTAGTCATTGAGAAATACTACAGCTCATTTTTTTCATGGCAACTATTCCAAAAATATTGTTCCCTGCATAGTTTGCACAAGTCACTTGTAGAAGTCTTTGTTTAGTAATATTTCAATACAGGTTTTTTTCAGATCTCTCTCCGGCAGAGGTGATTCTTCGAAAAGTTATCACCGTGAATGATTTGACTCTTTGTCTAGATAAACGGAATGCCTCAGGAAAAATTGAGGTTTATCAAGAGCCCATGCTATACAGATGTTCAATGACTATGCATTTACTCAAACATTATCATTCTGCTACAGCAAGTCGTGCATCAACTACTAGGCTTGATATTTACTGCAACAAGTGAGTAAAGTCTGTTTCGGATAAGAACTATCACATACTCCTTGTACATTGAATTGTTCAGTAATGTCAAGACATTTGAGAAATTTAGAAAATATCAAATCATCTGAACATTTACTTTATTTAATAACTTTAATAATACCAAAAAATATGCACCAGTAGAGTAGACTCATTATGTTGGTCAATGCAAAATAGTTGTCTTGAATTTAGTTGCAAAATTATATTTTATTCTTGATATATTTAAGCAGACTATTATAAAATTGTAATACCAGTGTAGTACAGCTGATTTTCTCCAAAGTTTTCAAACAATGTTAATTTTTGTGAGTTCTTCATAGCAAATAAAAACGACAATGAGATGTATATTTGAATGTTAATATTTATATTTTGTCAAATGGATAAAAATACAGGAATTAATATTGATCAAGTTTTTAGATTTGAATCAAGATTCGTATAATCTGTTTGTTGGTTCTAGAAATGGTGATTGGTACATACATATTAGTATACTTTTTTGTTCCTACAACAAGAAAGGTCTCAACTTAGATGAAGTTCAAATCCTGTTGATACTTTTTTCAATTAATTTCAATAAAATACTATGTGGTAGGAGATCATTAAAAATGATAATTAAAACATTCATACCACTAAAAATAATAAAAAAATAGTATTTATAACTTACTGCAGTTTCATCTTATAAAGACGTTTTCAAACAAATACAATAAACTTTTGAAAATGTCATTGTAGCAAGTTTTACTTCTCATTTTTCATGATACTTTTTCCTTAGATTTTGAATATGTATGCATACCTACTCCATTACAAAGTTTAGTCATTTACTCTTTCTTTCAGAGCTTTGTATGAAATTTTTAAAAGATGGAATGATTCCTTTTTTGAATAGAAAATATATTTACCAATTGAGTAACGAGTGGAGGTAACAATTATTTATATGACTTTACTACATATACTGGTATACCATCCAATTGCATAGATTTTCAATCATCTAATCCATTGATTATTTTTTAATATTAATAATGGTCTTTATCGGTGAAGTTCAAAATTGCCGTCTAAAGCACTACAGTTTTGTTCTACCACTTAACCTTTCTTTTCTTTTATTCAGGTATTTCAAAAATAAGTAAAAAATCCATAAGAAAGAAATATATAATTAGAATGATTGTAAATAGTCATTCATAAATTTTTTGTGATAGTTGGTATGATTACAGCTACTACTTTAGTTGCTCAGATATAATTTACAATTCTTCTTATCTCATTATAAAGTTAATGTTAATGTAGGCTTTCACGGCTGTCGTTAATGTTTTTGATGGTTTCCAGATTTTGCCGTGGTCTTCTTTGGTTATAATCTCCAAACGTTTTGACTGCAACTGCGGCAGTCATTTTGCCGTGGTCTTCTTTGGTTGTCATCTCCAAACGTTTCGACTGCAACTGCGCCAGTCATCTTCAGTGGCGTGGTATCAACTGAAATAAAGCTGCCTGCCACAGTTGCAGTCGAAACGTTTGGAGACTTCTGTGAGTGTACCGTATGATAGTTATTGAATTTTTCTAGTATGGAATTTAGTATGACAGAACAGCAAGTACCAATGTTAATCCGTCTCTTGATGCTGTTGTATGCTCTACAGCAAAGGCAATTGAAACCTGAACGTGGTGTTTCTCATGATAGTACCAATACCACAACTGAACCAAGAGGTAAGATTATTCAACATTTTCTGGATAAAAACCAGTCTCATTAAAAATTCATATTCATCATAAATAATATTGAAGTAACCGGAGTACTTCTCAAAATAATTCTCATCCCATGATTCCAAAGTTTTTGTAATTGTGCTATTTGATTGAAAGTCAAGAAAAAAATTTTTGCAAACGTCCATTTATTATAATAGATTATCTTTAGAGGAGAGGTGCATGTGACATAATCGAATTCAGGTGAAAAACACCTTACCTCTGCCACTCATGTGAACCTACGACTTGATAGGTACGCGTGGCAGATACCTGACGAAAAAATAGCAACTAACCCAGCTAATGCCTCTAGGAAAACTAAAGTAAAACCATCAGGCACCTGTGTAACGTCTTCAATTTGGAAGATTTGTCACAAATCGCTTTCTATATATGAAAAGTAGAAATAAATTTCACTTGGTAGGGATGACCACCGATAGACCGGTTTCGGAGTACTTGCTACTCAGTACAGTACTGCAGCTACCCAGGCACTTTCCAATAGCGAAAACCCACCAAAAAGACCACGGTTAATGTATGGTGGTAAGCAGCTGGTGTGATTCACTATAACTTTCTGCAAACAGGCCAAAACATCACAGCAGAGTCTTTTGTGAGGAAATCAACGAAATGTACCGAAAATTGCGTCAGCAGCAGGTTTGATCTGCTCCAAGACAACACCCGTCCGCATGTTTGATAAATCACCGTCCGAAAATTAAACGAATTGAGCGTCGCATTTCTGCCTCACCCACCATATTCACCACACCTCTCGCCAACCCACTACCATCTTTTGAAGCACTTCGATAACTTTTTTATTGGTAGAACCTTCGCCAATCAGGACCAGGCAAAAACGGCCTTCGTTGACTTCATCGAATCCGGAGCACACAATTTGTATGCTGATGTAATTTATCGACTTATGTTATGTTGGCAAGTGCACCGATTCAAATGGCACTTGTTTCGATTAAATTGTATAAGAATTCACTGATATATTACAGTTCAACGTAGACCCCTAAAACGGACAAATCTTTTGAAACAACCTAATACAAATAATATTTCATTTAATTTTCAATATCAATCGTGTTTCATAATTGTTTCTACAGTATCTGATAACATTTGTCGATTACAGAAAATCAAGAAAATGCAGAATCTTGGACTGGCTGGGCGTGGTCTTATGTTTCTTCAGTATTACCTGCACCCTGGGATGAGGAATGGAATGACGAACAATTAGAACATCACAAAGGGCACACTCTTCATTTCGGATTCTATGTTGACAATCTCTCCATTACTTTCAAGGTACAAAGTTATCCTTTGGGCCCTATTCCGTTTTATTGATGTTTTTAACAGTTTACTCATTCTCACTAAATAAAACAAAGTAGCCATCCGTTCTGCAAATAATTATTGAAGCACAATACAATGTTGATAGTAATATCAAACAGTGGAGTATATTTTCAGATTTTTTTTTATTGACTCTGCCGTTACTTGATGAGGATCCATGGTAATTTCACAAACTACACCGGAAACGATTTGATCTTCAAAAACTTTATGATAGCAAAAAATGTTGTGAAATTTTGATAATGAAGTTTCTTAAGATCGAATCGTTTCCGATGTAGTTTGTGAAAAAATATATTGTCAAAAAAACTCACCCTGCTATGAATGAATATATTTGAGTCTCCAATATTATCATGAGGAAAAGTGTAAAAAAAACCTCATTATTTTTTAGGTTTCCGAAATTAGTTCTGAGCGCAGCAGCTACTATACTCACAAAAAATTGCGCTATATGCCAATGCTTTGTTTACAACTTCAAGGAATCTATTCTGAAACTCTTATTCATGGCTTGAAATGGTTCAACTGTACAGGAGGAGTTAGCGAAGCTATTTTATTGCCGATAGGATTGTGTAGCTGTTCTCATATAGAAATTGTAGATGATATCAACCCTATACATTATTTGAAAATAGGTCAGAATTTTTTTATAACAATAATAATAGTTTTCTCAAAAGACATCATGAGCTTGATATAAAGACGATTTTAAATAAAAAAAATTCAGATACTACTCCTGTATGTCACTGTTTTCTCATGTATTTGATATCCACTCGGACGCTGTCAGATAAATGGTTTCTTAATTAGCTTTTCCTAAAGCAGTAGACATCTTGTTTCTACTATCAAAAATCAAATCCGACCAAAGGCATGAGGCGGCCATTTTGGCTTATCGTGTCTCCTCAAAAAACTTTCTCAAGCCCAATGATCACTCACAATTTGAGTATTGCAAATGAATCTGGTACATTTTTTGATAAAAACTAAAAAGCGATAATGAAGAAGAAGTAAAAATTGTATACTAATATTCTTGCCAAACTTCTTCAAACTGAAATTAGTGGAAAAATTCAATAAAATACACGTTATTGGAAAAAATAATAACCTAATCAGTCAATGAAACACTTGAAATGCTAATAGTTGAAAGCTGTTGAGTATTTATCTATTTTTTTCCAGGTTCGGTAACAAGTTCACACAAAACAGACTGTCTTTTTGATGCGGAAGCCATTGAGAATAAAGGAAAACGAAGGCAATATAATACTTCCTGGGACTACCACATGACAGTTTTCACAGAATCTGTTCTCTTAGAACGCACACCTGCTTTTGCCTTTGATTACCTTTATCACATGGAGGTACCAAGTGATGTTTCTAGCGATAAATTATCAGATATGGGTAGTAATTATGAATTCAGGTAATAATTATAAATTATAAAATGAATTGATATACTTACATACAACTTTTTTTTTCTTCAGTAATCTGTCAGAAAGGTCCTGTATCAGAAATTGCTTTGGGCCATTCAAACTACGTTTGTGCTCTGGATTCTTCCACAGAATGAGTTCCTTGCAAGTAGCAGGTTTGTAAATACAATGACCTCAGAAAAGTTATAACATTTCAATTACCTAACTCAGATTTTCTCTCTCTAAAGCAAGTAGCCTTGATTATTTCAAATCAATTTTGATATAATAACACTGGGCTCAGGTGAATTACTTTTTTTATCAATAATTATTGAAAAATTATGTTTAACCTGAACATTTGTCGTTTTATTTTTCAGCTTCTTACTATGATTATCCTCCTTACTATACTCTAAAACCTGACTTACCATTACAAGATCTGTTACCACCTTCTGAAGAAGATTTTGATGCTCTCAGTGAATTTATACCTAGTAGAAGTATGAGGGTTACATTCTTTGCTCCAATTATTGAACTGGAGCTCATGGATCATCCATTTTTTCAACCTCATAAAGGATTGTTATTCAGAAAAAGAAAGGTCAGTTTAGCAAATAATGTCTTTTGTAAATGATTTGAGATTTTCTCTCTTTTTCCTTTCCCTCTATCAATCTCTCTTCCACACTCTCTCTCTCTCTCTCTCTCAACCTCCCCCCCTCTCTCAACCTCACTCTCTCTCTCTCTCTCAGTATACTTCTTAGAAGTTCCAAAATGAATTTAATCTTAACTTACCATGTCTGTTAAATGTTGTATGTTGTGCGAAGATCTATAAAATGGAATGAAAAGATCGAGTCTGAAACAGACATGTAAAAAATCAATTCTATATTTGTTGTTGTTCGAATGGAACGCACATCTGTTCATCTAATTCAAAGAGAGTTTTTTAATGTATTTATTATTACAGAAGATGTCAAGTTCTGCTACAAATGAATCTCCAGTTGACTTACCGAAACTTACTTTAGAATGTCAGTTTCTTGACATTAGTATTAATTACCCGATGTATGTCAACCGTCTTGTTCATACAACTTGTCAACTACCAGATCCCCCTAAACAACTATTTGATGCCTGCTTCTCCAAACAAGATATAAAAATTTTGGGGGTTTGTAGTCGGTTAGTTCTCAATTCCCAACGCCATACAACAATACTGACACCGTCCAGCATGTCATACTCGAACAGGAGTATCTTGAAGCCTCAATATTGGACGAATCCGGACATTCCACACGACGAAACAACGTTCGAGTCTGAAAGTATAACTTTGAATGGCACCAATGCCAAAATGATGGTAATTGTATACATTATCGGAAAGTTGATGAAAATGGACTCAGAGGGAGCAGTAAACATTATGAATAATACTTCTATATTGTCGGATGCTTCTATAGATTACGGTTGGTATTATATTGATATTTTTTGAAATTGAAAAATTTTCATTTTAAATTTCGAGCTGTAATGTGACATTAACAATAATAATAATAATAATCTTCTTTAACATAAATTAGTGTGTATCATGAATACATTTTATGTTGAACAAAAGTCGTTTTTTGAGGAAAATCAGTTTTTTATTGATCTTCTTTGGATATTTTCACCTTCCAAAAACTGAAAAATATGTATAAAGTTCTTCATTCCAATTTTCATATTTTTCAGATTGTGGAAGGTGAAAATACCCAAAGAAGGTCGACAAAAAAAATTTTATATATTCTGATTCAGACACAATCTACAAACAGTTTGATCTTCCTATTGAAGATGATCACTTGGTGATCAAAACACGTGTCGAGGTGTTGAAATAACTGTTTGGTGTTGGGAAAAAACTACAGTAATATTCATTACTACACCAAAGGTTCCAAACAGTGCATCACAAGTACAATGTACAATAACAAAAACCTTAGTCAATGTAGACACATTTCTATATATCTATTTATTTATTCAAAGTAAATGCACAGAATCATATACAATTCCAAATGGCATACAAACAATTGAATAAAAAATAGAGAATATAAAAAAAGAAAAAAAAAGCATAAAGCAAAACAAAACAAATTAGAAACAAATTGAAACTAGCAACTGGGGCAACTTAAGAGTATCAAAAGTAATTGACATTCCAAATAACTTGCTTTTTGAACTTGCAATCTTGTAGTGGAAGCAGTGTTTCCATAATTGGTTTTATGATTTTGCATATAGAGAAACCATCTTTGTCAGGTAACTCTGACACTGACATTAACGAACAGCCTCTTTAAAATATCTGAACAATCGATTGAATTGTTCATAATCTCGTGAAGGAAATATATCATGGAAAGTTTACGCCTATTCACAAGAGTTTGAAGGTTGACTATTGTAAGCCTGATATGAAAATACAATCCCATTTTCCAAATTGAGAATTTTGTGAAACGCCCTTGTACGTTTTCTAACCTTTCTTTATGACTTATATAATGTAGTCATCGGACAGCAAGCCATGATGGTTAAACCTCTGAAGAAGCTAGCCACTCGCGCCAGCGAAACGTCAGGAAGAAATTCCAAACACCCACGGCTTTCAAACTCGAAAAGCAACGACACTGAAAACCTCAGCCGTGAAAGTCTAAACCATTTTGTTCGATATCTGTCAATGTTTCACTTGAATAAAATATAAATAGTATTGGGCCTAAAACTGATCCCTGAAGTACACCTGAGGTCGTTTTTCTACTAGTTAGACTTCATTTCAATTTGAAATGATTCCAACTAGTTGTGAGTCACTATAATATTTGAATAACTGTAAATCATTTTCTCATAAAACTTTTTAGGTTTACCATACATGGAATTATGCGTAGAGGGTATTCGTTTCAAGAAGGTAATAACAAATGCAACAGTTTCCATGGACGTGAGTCTTGGATCTATAAAGGCTTTTATTTTTGAACCCGTTGATGTTATGAATAGCAGTAAATCACCCTCCAAAGACATTCAGCAAGTATTATTTATATCGGGACCAGAACCTAAAAGTTCCACAGAAACCAAATCTGACACGTAAATTTGATTCAACTGTTGTATTTGAAGAGTTTTGCTACATTTATATTTTTAGGATGTCTGAAGAACAACCTCTCTTCACCGTATCTCTTCAATATCCCATAAACCCCGATGTGCAGAAACATCCTCCAATTCTATTGTTCAACCTCCAAGAAATTAGAATTTGTGTAGATCCCCTTCTGTGTAGATGGTTGCTTTACACACCAAAGCAATTTAAACCCAAAGTTGACCAAATAGGTACGTTTTTTTCAGTCACAATTTAAATGATGATGATTATATTTAATATTTATTCAAGATTCTTCGTATCATAAAAACAAAAACTATTCTGAAGCGAGCGGTAGTGCCGTAGAAACTCCACGACGAGTGAGCAGTCAACTAGAATCCATACACAGTAGTTCGGATAGAGAACTACCTTTATCTAAAAAAGTTGAAGTATTGAAAGAGGAATCTGTCGATTTACAAGAAAAGGTTTATAATCTGCTGAAAAGATGGTTTGATGTTTGGAAGGGAATGTACCTTCACGGAGATATATCACAGTGTACTATTTACTTTCCTATGGTTTCTTTGTCGGCTGTAGGATCACAAGGTAACAAATCCTATTAAATAACTGTTAGAATCGCCTTTCTTTGATATCTCAAAAAGTATTTTTTATATTTTCCACAAATGTGTTGGTTAGTCAATTTATTGATGATATATTTTGAAATATCTCATGTATAAGTTGAGTTTGGACTTAGGAGGTTTAATGATTATAAGTTACATGAAATTTCAGTCAATTATCTTATGCTACCATTCATATAAATATATTCAGTTCAATATTCATAAAGAGTAAACACAATTTATAATGCATAATCTTAAAGCTCGTTTATCATCACAAAAAATTAAAATGGCAAAAGCATAGGTCTTCGGCTCAACCTGATACTGAATATGTATTCCACAAGTAATTAGAAATGTGATTTGGTAGTTCTGAACTCACCAATTATGTTGTACTAATGTAAACCCGAATAGAAATAAAACACGGTTTCCTGAAAATTGGTGAATCAAACGTCAAATTTTTTTGTAAGAATAGTGATTGGCAGCTGACAAGTTTGAGTTTGGAATATTTGAATGGGTATTGTTATAAGATAGCTTAATGTGGTTGGATAATAAACAAATTCCACATAAATTTGACATTCTACTGTTTGAACTGCAGTTAGAAGTGGACGGTTCCCAGCTGCTTGCTCTTCAATGCCGAAAAAGGCCCTTTCTCTTGAATGTATAAGGTTTTCAGCTTATCCAAAAAGGAACAAATCATCAGAATAATGAATTCCAGATTGATGAGTGTTTTCACTGATAACACACACAGAATTTCATGTAAAACAAATTAATACATAGCCGACACAGCCGAAGTGATTATCCTGAATGGTTGATTTATGTCAAATAAGCATAAATTTTGGGAGTCAGAGTTGTCGACGGTTCGATTCAACTCGCTTGATTATATTCTATGTGGTCAATCCCTGCAATTTCTCTCGAACATTTTCATATTGAGGAAAATAAAAACCACATACGGCTTTCCTCAACAAACAGGTGATTGTTGAAGGGTACCTCTGTCACTTTTATATTGTTTTGAGGAAAACAAAGAATCTGAACCAACTAGTTTTGTATTTCAATAATGAAAATATTTTATATATTACATATCTAGATGAGTAGAATCATATGATTTTCACAGCATTTAATCACTTACATTTTTTTTTTCATTAAATCATCAAGAAAGATATCCTAATAAACCTAACGTAAAGCAAGTAAGAACTTTGTAACTTTAAACTTTACAAACTCGATTTACATGTCCGGTTCAGCTAAAGTTCCATTTATTGTGGGCCAATGGACGCAGGTCCCTTTTTCCACTTATTTTAAACATATAGATGGAAGAAAACACATAGTTATAATGAAGAACTGAAGTCCCTTTTTACACCAAAAAGTGCATCTCCCCATAGAGAACAAAACTGATTTTAACTCAAAATCTCAAAAAAGACTCGGTTCCCTTTGGACAATCACCTATTCATTTGTTTTACTGAATGTGCATGATAACACACCGGAGTAAAGAATAGTAGAGAAATGTTTGTGTGTTAGGGGCCCTCTGTGATTTTAATTTTTCTCCTCCAAATCATCAAAACTTGAAAGTAACTCTGAGAAGAATCGGCCAATTTCAGTATACATTTACTTTGATAATATATTTTATTTTCATCAATGAGATTAATTAATTGTATAATGTATGGTGTCCAGTTTTTTATTCAAGTATGATTCAACTATTGACTTAACAATAATACACTTTTATTCTTATAGTATGTGGGCATACTTGAAGACTGGCTTTAAATCAAATTATCCAAAGAAACAATTCGTACATGCCAGTCTTCCCTCACCTACACGACAGGTTTATGGACTGACACATATCAGAAAACAACTACCCCCCTGGGTAATAACACGAAGGGCGTTGGATTATATCCGACAGGTGTCAGTGTAGGGGAGTAGTTGTTTTATGATAGGTTTCAGTCTATAAACCTACTGTGTAGGTAAGGGAAGAACGAATTGTTCCTTTACATACACTTAACACAATCGTCTTGATTCAAAAGTAATCAACAATAATATTCTTTTCAGTTAACAGGTGTCAAAAATTTGAGTTAGTAGCAGTCAGGAAGTGGTTATTTTTGGAACATATTTTCAATGACATGATTTTTTAATAATATTTAGAGAATCAAAAGTGATCAGAATCATTTACAAAATAAGTGTGTTCATAAAGTGTGAAAGCTGTGAATGCCATGAGGAATTTTTCAAATTTATGAATTGTTTAGTATATTAGTTACGAATAATATTTTATAGGATTAGGGCATTTGACCTGCATTCACTTGAAGTCTCTTGGATCATTTACTAGATATTTGTCTGAGTTAAGGAAGCTGTAAACATAATCGACTGAATTGTGCATTATCAACAAAATTGTCAATATTAAATTAACCGTTTCACATAACCAAAACAATTGTTTCATGCGAATAACATTCAGAATTCTCAATAAATTTGTGCATTATCAACAAAATTGTCAATACTAAATTAATCGTTTCACATAACCAAAACAATTGTTTCATGCGAATAACATTCAGAATTCTCAATAAATTTTGAGATCTGTGATTCCTAAGAATTAGATCAAAATTTATATAGTAGACAATTCGTTTATTTTTCAATAATTTGTGTACCGTTTAGATTCTTTTTTACTATGATAATATTTCAGGAATACAGGAGGCTGTAGACGCAGCTGTGAACAAAGAACATCCTCCAGATATAATGGTTATAACATTACCTTTTGCCAATATTCGCAGCGCTCATAAACATAATATAACGAAATATTTGAAAACACTTCCTGTCACTTTACCGGAAAGCATTTGGTCTCCAAGTAAATCTAGTTTTCCTTGGACTATTTCTATATCTGATTTGAGCTGTTTCACCATACAATATGGAAATAAATTAATATTTTTGAAACCTGTGTCACTGAGTGCAACAGTTGGTTTATCTACGAGGCCTTCCAAGGTGGAAAACGAAGGATTAGCAGGTAGTTCAAAGACGGATATAGCTTATCTGGGTATTTGTGTGCATATCGATATGACTCCTATATTGATATCCACTTCAGAAGTTCAAGTATATCTTTTCGCAAGTATTTTGTATGGCCTGATGGAGGTGGCTACCAACCTGATGCCAGAAAAAAATAAACTGATGTCTAAGACTTCAGATGTGATTCCTCCCATTTTGAATAAGAATAGCTCAACGTTGTCGCCAACAGTTATCAGAGAAACTACATTGGATTCAATAAGTGAACAAACTCCTCCAAACAGTTTCATTCAAGGAGAAGGTGTAGATGATAGCGTGAAGCTTACTGCTTGGGTGCAGTGGACTATCACAAGGTTTACGATAGAGTTATTATCGAGTGAATATAAAAATAAAGCAGAGGAAGAATTAGAGTCTCTGCAGCCAAGATTGAAACTTGTGGTAGATGCAGAGGATATAGTGAGTTCTTTGGATTTTCAAAGCATCTATCTGAAAATTAAAAGTAAAATCGGGTCGATGTCTGTACAACATTACAAGAGGTTAGTAATAAGAACAATGATGATATCATTAAATTATGATGTGATGGAATCTGCTGATACTTGAAAATCCATAAAGCATTCAAAAAAACACTTTGGTTGTGATATTTTCACTACACAGTTTTACAAAAACGCAACATGTGTTTCGCTATACAATAGTTTCTTCAGGTGTGGAAGTTTATAAATACATTTGTTAGATTTATTCTGGAGTTTAAGGATTGCGGTATTTGCAGATCCCCATATGAAAATTGAATATTTTAATCGAGAATATATGAAACTATAATATATGTTCATCAAATTTTTTCGATCAATATGTTTTCGTATTCTATTGAGAATACCGATAATTGGTGAAATTTGTTTCTTTTTTTTTTAAGTTTGTCAATATGTTCATTCCAACAAGATTTTCATCAAAATAGAGTCCTAAATGTTATGTGTAGTTTTTGTATATGATCTCATTACTTTCAAATTTGATTAGGGGACATAATAGTTAGTTATTCTAGTAATGAGTAATAGATTTATACGATTTATAGGTTAAATCCTAGTTCAAAGTGGAAACCTGGTGCATTTCTGGGAATTGTGATGAGACTTCAAGAAGATGCTGGGTCCAGCCAACACCACGAAGATCATGGTTTCATAAACATCACGATAACTAGGGCAAGCTGTCAACATACTCATACGTTATGGGGTGCAGTGCAAAAACATCACAAACAGAAAAAAAGCGAAATTCCAAACCCTCAGTTATTATCTCAGTCCCGCTATATCACCGAAATTGTGGTCAACATACAACCAATAGGTTAGACTAGTTTTCTCATTCAAGAACACATTTCATCTGTATAATATTTTTTAGATTTTATAATATCCCCCAGTACATTGCGCAGCTTCTACTTGGTGATTGTGCCACTGCTCCAAATTCCCATAAATGAAGAGCCCAAAATTTCCAGCTCCAATACCACTCTGAATTTCAATAATCAAAATCTGCCATTGGCATATTTGGAATGCCAAGATATAAGGATAGTCATGCCTTCCGTTGAGCTAGGAAACTCTGGAGCCGTACATGATGTTATTGTTTTTCAAGTGCAGAAGATTTGTTTGACTCCATCCGCTGTCAATCCTATTTGTAGATCGCCTATAAGGCCAGATATTTATGAACAAGCTGCTCATGCTAGGATTTTGAATATACCAGGTACTTAGTGTTATCAGAATGTGTTATCATAATCTTCTAACGTGACTTCTTGTGTTAAAATCAAACAAAATCAATATCAGCATTGTTATTCTGCTAAATAAAAAACAACAAAAGTGGATTTAGTGGATGTAGTTCTAATAAAGGCTTCTAGATGGTCTACAGAATTAGTGGCATAACAAAGAAGGAAGGTTAAAATATAACAGAAAAGTTGGAACAGATGAACTGAAGTTATTATGACAATAAAAAAAATAATTTTTTAAAATAATTTGTTTATAATATTTTGTTCTCAGTATATTTAACTTATTTTCTTAGTTGATTGATGATTTGATCATACACGTTAAAATGACAGTTGTTAAATCAGATTTTTTGATATTTTATTGTTTCAGATAGAATAAAATCCAAGTGATTTGAGAAACTCTGTGTCTTCTTATTACTTTTTAACATTAACATTCTGAACTGGATTATCAAATTATTGGATGGGTAATCACTAAAAATATATAATAGAAAGAGTGTATGTTATTCATTTGTTCAATCAATCTCTTCTGTAAGTTTAAATTAATGGGTACTAAAGTCAGAGAAGAAGGGAAAATAATTGAGAAATCATTTGAGCCATGATCCACAAAAAAAAGAAACATAACAACAGCTTTGACTAACATATTGTATGTCTAAAAATTGATTTGAGTGGATTTTTTGTAAACTACATGTACTCCTCATACAGGAAACTCCCAAAAATGCGAGTTGTGTCAGCTAAGGGTTAACATACCTTTTAACGTACGATATGATAAATATGGTAAAGCAACCATAAGTATTGCCAGGCTGCCATCGGTATTTTTATTTTCAAACATTTTCTTCATTATTTAACAGTTTCATACCAACAACTTTTCAGGTAGTGAAGTAGAAGACAGGCAATACCAACTTGATCTAATTGGTATTTCGGTTTGTACAAGTACCTGGAATGATATAGTATCGATATTCAGTCCTTTGGATACGTCTAATTTGAAAAGCATCAGTGAGAATCCAGCGTTGGAATGGAATAATCTGGAACATGGTCAACCTAACTTAAATCCAGTCTTGAACTTATGGCACATCACTGAAAAATTTGACATATCGATCATTGCAGCTCCGGCTATGGTTTACAAAGAAACCCATGTCATTTGCGGTCATTCTATAGAAGTAAACTTCATTACAGATATTATAACTAACTTATCGTTACATCAAATAAAGCTAGTTTCGGCTTTGTACGGCGAGTTTGTTATGTTAGTGGAACCGCCAATTCTTGACAATGGCTCTTTGAAGAGACCGAGTGTCAAATTTCCTTACTCTAGATTTGATGTGCCTTTCGAATTGGGAGAAGTAGAACCTCTAGAACTGTTGCGTGATTCTGGAATTGAAACCTCTGATATGAAAAGCCTAATGTCGTCCAAGTTTGCGAAAACACATATTGAAGTTGAGAAACGTGTCTTTCCAAAGCTTCCAAGTCCTCTTCCTCAAACTTCTGTCTCAATTCCATTCGATGTACTGATTACTGCCGGTAAAATTGGGCTGGCTGTGTATCAGTACGATAACACCAGTATGACATCAGTTTCACTTTCTAAGCAGAAAGGAAAAAAAAAGAAAATACCCAAAATAAATAAAGCTGATTTGGGCTATGAGGCAGAAGAAGAAAGTTTGGACGAAAAGAGTGAATCACACAAGAAGTACATTCCTTTAATTCATTTCTATATCAACCAGCCCAATGCCTTCATTTCATTGCATCAACTTGCCAGAAGGTTCAACATTTCCTGTTTTGATCTGAATTTGAAATTGAGTGGACCAGAATATATTCCTATTGCCCGCATTCCTACCGAAGATGATTTTCCCGTTAGTATTTTGGAAACCAGGTCTGGCGAACCGGATTCAAATACAGGAATATTCCCAGCATTCTTTATCGTTACGTTTTCAAAGTGTCTAGGCAAAACTGCTACCCTGGACATTGAAATATCAAAACCTACTAAGGTTTTGTTTTCTATCGCTACTTGGGGATACTTGAATAACGTTAGAGATAAGGTTCGTTACTTAAAAATTATTGTCAATGTGAATAAATATTAATATTTTGATTCTGCAGATTATGGATGCATTCAAGGGAACCCAGAAAAATATTAATGTGGTCAAGGAAAGTGTAGCTAAAACTGATGCCTTGCCAGTTATAAATTCACCCATACCTTATATTAGGAGTAAAGTAGGGGACACTTATAGTAAATTTCAAGAAATAAAGGATATTCTCAAGGGCACCAACAATGTAAACCTCAAACTCAATCAAATAATATTTTCAGTGAAGTCAGATTCAGGTCATGAGGTTAGTTGTGATGTTCCTTTAGTTTTTTCAGCCCATTGAAGGCTTTTACACTTTCTCATTATAGGTGAACATTGGAATGGAAAAACTTGCAACCATTTTGATCCTATCTAGCCGACCAGAGAAGCTTTCTATAAACACAAAACTCAGTTGCTTAACCCTGACGGTGGTTAACGAAAATTATAGGAAGTTACTACTAAATCCCTGGACATTTTCAGTAGATGTTTCGGTTTTCTGGGAATCGTGGCAGAGTTTAGATAGTAACCCACAGATTCAGTTCAGTGCAGAAAGCGATTGCATCTCATTAGATATCAGTCCAGAGCAAATGCAATGTGTGGCGATGGTCGTTAAAGATATCAACGAGTTTACTTCAAGTTCACAGCTCCAAACAAGAAAAAACGATGACTCGTTATATGAGCCGGTCCAAAGGAGGGGTTCAGAAAAAGATCAGCATTACAAAGACGATCTTAGAGCTGGGGCATTCCAATTTGTTGATGCAAACAATGAGAATTCAGATGAGCAACCACTACCTTATCAGGTATACAAACCTATGATAACTATTAAGGTCAAACATATATATTTTGTAGGCACTTTCAAGATTATCAGGGCTCTTTATTTTCAAATTTTTCATTCAGATATCCGTGAGGTCTGTCCAATATAAAACCATAAAACTTATTTTGTTCAAGTATGGAATATAAACTTGATATGAGTATTCAATAGAAATTAATTTTTTGAAATCACATGTTTATCACTTCTTTTGACTCATGTTTCATGAACCTAGAGATGATCATAAGTAAAACAATAATACTGATTGAAATCCTTTCTTACAGGTTATGTTTTGGAACAAGAATATTTCTGCTATGGCGTGGCGCTATCCTCAGCCTAGGGCTCTGACAAAAGTTCGGATATTTCCTGTACCCTATAAAATATCCATGGGCTTTGATGAAGACCTCCAGGTACTCTGCTATCTGGAATACTGGTCAGAATGCAGAAACTGCTTTCTCCCTTTTACACAGTTTCATTTATCTGAAAGTGAAATTTGTCACTTGGCATTACCTGAAGGAAGTCTACAACCTATTGTAGCAGCAACTTGGAGAGTGGTAATAATAATTATAACAGTAGATTGCCAGACATACAAAAATGAATATATAATGTAAATTTACATATACATATATACAGTGTCATCCCCAAAGTATGCACCATATGGGAAACTTATTTATTGAAATGGCACTATCTGGTTTTGGATTATGAATGACTTGGTTTTTGGCTCTGGGTTTCAATTAGTTGCCTGACAGTGAAAGGCAGGATAAATATTGTTCGGCGGTCGATGTCAAAGCTTGGCTTTGATATTTATGGATTCAGTCTTCTCTCGATTCCACAAATGGTGTCTTTGAGAGAAGAGATGACATCACCTTTACTCACTCATGCTTATCCTTCAATAATAAAAAAATGGTTGCAAAATTCAAAAAATTAAAATGTCAGTTTTGTAGTTTCGAAGTCTCTAATAAGAATAGTGAAAATTTTACGGTATATGGTTCATTGAGTGTTTTAGTCATATTTATTTTAAGAATGTACTAATTTGTTATACTCAATTAGTGTTAAAGCAGTTTTAAATCTAACCTAAGTGATGTTACATTATCATGTGAATGTCTTATTTATTCATATGTTCAATGTTTTAGTAATTCTGGTATTTCTATCATCCAGTGGCATACGTTGAATCAAGAATTGGAGGGAAACATAGACTACGCCCTTTACGTATCTTTCAGTATCCAACCGCATTTAGGATGGTCGTGTCCTTTGAGGGTTGACAAACCGTTTCTGCGAAAATCAACGTGCATAAAATCCTCCAATTTCCCGATTCCTATTGTTTTAACATGTCAGGAATATAAGGGACAAACATTCATTGCTATCCATAATGATACCCGACCTCAACTTTTTATCGAAAACAGAACTGGAGCTACACTGTTTTGTGCTCAAGGGCTCGGAGAAGGAAGAGTTGCAACCGAGGTCAAGCATTTCAGATGGCACTGTAAGATTGAGAATTCGTCTTGTCAGTATTATACTATGCCATTTTTATCCGAAAAGTTCCCAGAGTTACCTCAGAACAATTTTTCAGAGAAGATATCAATTGCTTGTGATCCAGAGAGTAAGTTATGAGAATATGTTTTTATTATTATCAGGGTTTTTTTCAAGTTTTTTACAAAAAGAAGGGAAGCATTTTCTATAACAAAATTTCTTTGTTTTTTTCAAAATATTCGTTTTTTCAATTGATACACTTTTGCATGTATTCAAACCAATTCTCTATTCAAGAACCAATTAGTACTTCATTTTACTTAACTATTCAAAAAGCACAGCTACTTTTTTTCTACAGAATGTATTTTTTGAATATCCATAAAAACTGATAAATAACAAGATATGCATCAAAGTTTGAGATCTAAGTAGTTTTTCCTTATTTCTGCTATTCATTTCTTAATCTCTTCAGTAATAGAGCTCGGTGTTATCGGACCGATTTATGAGAAGGATTATGAGGGTAATTACCCCCCTCCTGACCCCAACATACAACACCAGATATCATCTTAACAAATCTCATATTATAGATATAAACAACTACAAAATGAACAAAAAAGTATTTATTGGCAGTTTTCAAGTGTCTTGTCCAACAGAAAATAGACCATTCTCAGATTAGAAAAGTGATGAGATATTCTTTTCACATATTACCTGAACGAATTGTTCTTTTAGATCAGGGGTTTCCAAACTACATCCCGCGGGCCATATCCGGCCCGCCAGTGTCATCAATCCGGCCCGCGACAGCCAATGATTTACTGTCATCAATCTGGCCCGCGACAGCCAATGATTACCTAATTGTTGTTACTATTGCGGTGATAAGTTGAAGAAGAAAACACAGAATGACAATTACTCGGTTTTATTTACTTGCAAGGTGAAACTTAACTACAGAAATGATGACAAAGAAAACTTAACTTGAGTATCTAAGTTCAAGCATATTAATAACTAACAAATAATTGAAATGAATCACAGTAAAACAAAAACA